AGTGTTAAGAGCTGGGCTAGGACTAATAAACCAGCAGGGCCGCGAGGATTCGATATGTTGATGTTTTCCACATTGAGTATGATTTGACTGAACTTCTTTAAGACATCTAGTAACTTCATCAGTTCACTTTCTTCCCAATCAAGGTTCAGGAAAAACACATCTTTAGCTTGCAACACAATGCCAGATAGTCCATACTTTCTGGGTTGATTAGCTTCGTTGATATCAAACATTCTCCAAATAGGGGTGGATTTGAATACATAGTTGCATCTGCCACTTATAAACTTCCAGAGAAGCTTTTCTTGCTCTGAGCCTAACTTATTGTACAGCCCCGTCGAACCAACTCGAGCTGTTTAAGCCCATATCCATTAAAAGATGACGTAGAATCTTGGTCAGCAGATCTGCTACCCGAATGAGGTTTACCGTCCATGCCAGATTTGTTAGTTTGGGGATTGCTTGATTGAGTTCTTGAAGTAGAGGGCTCTGGATCGGTGGGCTCCTGCTTACTTTCACTTTCACTTTTGACTTTCATGTTTTTAGACCTATCATCGAGTTGGGCTAGCACTCCTTCAATTATCCTAGATATGTTGTCGGGGCTTTTGGGTTCATCATGTTTCAATAATTGATCTATCACTGGATCTATAACTTGAGTTATATCGTCCCGGTCTAACATATCAATCTTAGGTACCATTTTCTTTAGTTCTTCTATCATGATCATTTTGATTCGGCTTTTTAATTCATGGGAATTGTATCGGACACCTATTGCGATTAGACCATTGACAAGTATGTTTCTTTTTGAACCGGGGGATTGATTTTGTGGGTCCATTGCGTCACTCTTAATTTGTTTTAGTTGTTGTGCTATATTTGTTAGCTTACCTAGGCTCTCTATTCGCGATTCCTCTGACATCTGGGTATTCTTGCATCCAGATAACCATTGTTCCATTTGTTGGGTAGCTATATTAATACTTTTCTGTATTACTTCTTCTCTGACTAGTAGAGATAGTAACTCAATCTTCTCCTGTCTGAGTCTCTCTATTGATTTGTCAGAGAAGCTGCAATCGCTTTGGGTTGAGTTCATGTTCTCAGAAGCCTCATGTTTTTCTTCCTTGAGGTTCTGTTGGCACTGCTTTATTGCATTTATTCGTTTTGATCGATTCTCGCTTAAGATTCTCAGCTCTTTTATTGCATTGGTTATCTCAGCAGAAACCGATTCTACTTGACTATCTAGATTTAACAGGATCCTTTTAAATATACCAAACAACCACATCTTATCTGACTTCCTATCAGAACTACACCAGACACAACACAATCCAATAACCAAGCAAACTACTTGATAAACATTCAAAGAGTATCTATTCATGCCTTTGTTCATTTTACAAGTTGCTATCTCACATTTTATTTATAGACTATACTATATCAATATCAAAAATATTCTAGTCTTAGCCAAGCAAATTCTCTAAATTAGTAGAATATCAACAAGACTTACTTTCTAAGTATGTCTATTCAATACTAACCCAATACCAAACCAATACGACCACTACTTAGCTCCCAACAATACTAACCTAATGTTTTGCCAGCTAATTACGCCTTGCAACTTTAATAGAGTCAATCTGCTTTGACTAATTTAGTTTTACATATCTACCCTACAATTCAATATGACGTCATCCTCACACAACCATATTTATTTAACAAATCACATCGGTACTCGTCTCAAGGAAGGTCGTTAATAGAGTACGCATTGGCCAATGAACCATATCCAACCCAACCAAACACTATCTAAGTTATAAAAGCTTATCTAAAACTCTCGAGTAAGTATAGTAGAATAAAATATAGCACAGTCCGTTTCTAAATCTACCCTTAGGAATGAAAGATTGTATTCCTGGTCCTAGAGACAGAAAGGAGACTCATTTGGTACTTTGGCTCAATAAAGATAATTTCAAAGTCTCGCCTGCTGAGGGCTTTTGTATTTCAAACTGGGCGAGTTTCATACTCGGCGTGCCACACTAAATGCCAATCCAAATCAACAGCATAATATTCACTTTAGTTGAATCAATAGATCAAATTTTAGTATGAATCGAGTCAAAAGTAAACGGGGATCTCTTTTAACCATAATTATGATTGTTTCTGCAGCCATTAGCATCTTGATGTTCTTCTTTTGGTTTACTGGACTGATTATTGCCATTACAGTCACTGGAGCTAGTTGTTTGGCCAATATTATCTATGAGTTTTACAGCCAAGGCAAACAACTTAAACAGACCAATGTGCAAGGAGTTAGAGTTGCTAGTTCACATAGCCCAATACTAGCCCAAACAACAAGTAATCCCTAACTAATTCCGATTGGATCGTATGAATAGAGCAGTGATGAGTTTAGACTATCGATAGCGATCGACCAGTTAATAAAGATCTTTCGGTGTTATGTGTCATTAGAGAAACTCAATTCTCAAAACGTCTTATTTATCCACCACTAATCCGATTCGATTTATTGTTATCTAAAGGATGACTAGTGCCTAACAAGACCCGCATGCTTATCTTGTTTAAACCCGTTTGTTTCGAGTTAAGCATTTCTGGTAAGCGGATATCCTTCACGTATTTCAATCTTCCCAACTCAACTCAATACCAACCCAACCCAACCCAACTCAATAGGAACAGTTTAGTTGCCTGAAGCTGCAGCAGGGACTTCGGAGGGCGATTGAATGGGTTTGCCTGAGAAAAGTCTAGAGATAAGCTCGGTTAGATGCCGATCGCTAATTTCGTCCAGATCACCATACTTTTTGGCTATTTCACGGACCTCCTTTTTGAACTCGGCAATGACAGTTTTACGATGCTTGTTAGGTAGAATGTACGACTCGGCTACTGCTGAAAAGGTTTCCACACATCTAAGCAGAAAGACGATTCGATTGCCTTCCTTTTTAGGACTTTCTACGCTCTTCAAAAGCAGAGCTCTTAACTGGGTTAGTATTTGAGTCAACAACTCTTGCTCAGGCACAATATCAGTGGCTCCGGCCTTTTTCAAAAGATGATTGGAATTATCCAGTAGAATCAGTCCTTTGAGTTTTGAAAAGAGCTTACTCTTCTCCTGGGCAATCATGCGTAAGGCCTTAAGAATCGGCTGCCTCTTCTTGGACCATTTCTCAAAAGTACGCGGATGCGCATCAATTGCTTGAATAATGGCTAGCATGTCCACTAAAGACTCGTCCTGCATAGTTCTTTCGTTAGGAGCAGCTGCAGCATAGTGTGATTCCGCTTCAGAGAAGAGGATCTTCGTGTGCCGTTTCAGAATTTCCATAATGTTATCCTCAGGAGTTTGACTGCCCGTTAAGTAGCGATGGTTTATCTGGTAGAAGTTACCCAATTTAATCATAGCAATAACCCGTAAATGCGGATCATCCATTGATTTAGTTATCTGGTAGCATTTAGTTGTAACCTGCTTTTTGATCTCCTTATCAATAATCCCATGTACTACATCCATTATAGCATGTTTCTCCTTATGCGGGTACCCTTCTTCAGCCAAGCTATCTATTTGGTGCACTAAACACTCACCTGTCCACTCCTCCTCTAAAGCCAAAGGCACTGCCCGCTTCTCAATATATTCCTGCACGACCTCCACAAACAATACGCCTTTCTTCTTCGGATGCACCAAGTACTCCCTCCATCCTTCTTTAGGCCCAACCAACGATCGCTCCAACCGTTTCCTAGCCCCAGCATCCAGCAATCTTTCTATTTTATCTATCTTCTTTTCAGCCTTACCCACTAATTCCTTAATTACATCCGATTCCGCATACTTAGCCAACTTCTTCACAATCTTCTCCAATCCCAACAAATGATCCCGACTTTCCAATAAGGACCCACTTCGTTTCAGCAAGATTCGTCCCTCCTCAATCATTCCTAATAATCCAATTACCTTATCCAATCTTTCAACCGTAGTTTGGTTTTGAAATTCCAACACACGTTCTTTCGGTCTCTCCACCGGCATTGCCATCTTAATCCGTACATAAGCCTCCTTACACCGCTCACTAACTCCATCCCCACCTCCTACAGCCATAACCAAACAAACCCAATCCCAATCAAATAAACCCAACTCAACATAATACATCAAAAGCTCAACATAATATCAACTTAACTCAACTAAACTTAACTAAACCCAACACCAACCTAACCCAATACTAACTCAGCACCAACTCAACACAACACCAACTAAACTTAACTAAACTCAACACCAACTCAACTCAACTCAACACAACATCAACACCAACTTAACCTAACCCAATACTAACTCAATACTAACCCAATTCAATACATTTATTTCTGGGATATCAACATAATGGCACAGATAAGCGAAAACACAGCTGGTAACTCCATTGTTGAGTTCATCACCAAGTAAGAAATAAACATATGCTTATTCCCACTCAGCTGAACAATACTCTCCTTATTTGAAGCACCAATACTCATCCCTGTAAAGAGAGATGCCACCCCATAGATAACTCCAGCTGCTAATAACAACCCTGCCTCATGATATCCCATACTACTCTCTATCTTACCAATTGCCATCACCGAAATAATCATAGCATACATAAAGACCGCCGATGAAAGTAAGACTGGGAGATATGCTTTAGTTAAAATATCATTAGATCGATGCGATACCATTGCTGCCGCAGATGCCGCCTTAACTGATCCGATTGTAGCACCAGCCGCACTCAAAATAATCATTAAAGATAGGCCTAAAACAGCCATAATAAAAGGAATTGCCTCAATATTCAAAGCTTGAAATTCAGATGACATAATAACTAAAACAAATATTTTATATAAGCTCATTCGGCTGATTAGCCGTTATGAAATCTAGATACTCAAAGTCCACCTTAGGATCAAAAGACTTCCTTAATAAAGCACTAGTTAAGTATTGTTCGTCTTGGTTATATAGTAAAGTAAATGGAACCTTATGTGCATTGATTAAACGCAAAGTACTAGGATGACAAACATAAGGAGATAAGCCCAGGGTGGGAATAAAAGGATAGAGAAGTTGGTGAAGACGTTTTCTTCTATAAAACACAAACCGTTCTGTAGTAATCCAAATTCTTATCTTAGGAGATCCTATCATTTCCTTCACTTGATTACGAGGAACATGTTCATCCGCAATGAATATCCCAGTTAAACCCAATAGAGCTGACTCTTCTAAAGTCTTCTTAAGAGCACTAGCTGCTAAGGCATCTTTAACTACAACTAGTAAACGAGTAACACTATCGGGTAAAGTAGAGATGTAATGAGCAGCTACTTGAATAGGGTCTTTCTGAGCACCATTAAGAATCTTTAGAGGATACTTGTAAGACTTAGTAGGTTTAGCCGATCGACCCATTATAACTTGCATCTCATGACCAAACTGCCGACCTAAACCAAGTACTTCTGGTGTAGGTAGATTAGTACACATAATGAACTGCTTTCTCTCTTCACCACTACTTAAGTACTTAAGATTCATTTCCTGCCGCTTAGAAGGAGTAGCATCTTGAATGATTTGTAAAGACTCAGTTAGGCCTTTGATGTTCTGAGCTTGCATAAGATCGGCTTCCAGAAGAAAGACTGTTTCTGCACTAGAGAGGAAAGAGTAAACTCCCATTTCTATTTTGGCCTTACGTTCAAAACCTTCTAACTCTGCTTCATTCTTGATAAGATATTGAGAACTATCTATCTTATTGTTATCTAAATCAACTAAGGCCTTAGTCGTACTAATAATTACTTCGGCTCCAAATAAGCTACGCTCAGTAAAATGATCTTCAACTCGACCTAAGCCAATGATAAAGTCATCTCCAGGATTACCCCAAAAAGACTGATCTGTTTCCATATCTTCAGTCAGCTCAGAAGACTTACCCAATACTAACCTTCTAACTAGTTCTTCCACTAGTCCTATATTGGGTACTAGCACTACTATACGACAGCGATTAAGAGCAGTAATTGTACGCGGATTATCATAAGCAGATAGCCGACACTTCTTAACCGTTGGACTAGTATCTTTTTTAATCTCTTTAACAGTCCGATTGGACTTTCCCGTTAAAATCCATTGGGTTAGACCCTCTAAATATTCAGATCGCTTAAACCCCCCCAAAACCAAACATTTAGTTGAAACCCCTACCGAAACGAATATCCGATCCATTCCGCCAAATTTTTCGCTTCTTTTGTCTTATCAATTGGTTTGACTTGGTTTTAGACTGAGATAGTGCTAGATAGTGATAGTTTGTTTTGAATTTAGTCAATTTATTATTTGGTTGATTATCTTTAATTTTGATAGTTGTAAAAGTTGTGATTAAGTTGAGTTAAGATTAAGTTGAGTTGGGTTGGGTTGAGTTGAGTTTAGTGTGGACTGGATGAGAAGTGATTAAGATGGGATGGAGAGTGGTGTGGTGTAGTGTGGTGTAGTGTGACCTTCTTTTGCTGGTCTGTCTTCTATACACACTTTGCAATCTAAGTGGCTCCTTTAGTATAGTGGTGAGTACGACACGTTGTGGCCGTGTAGACCTGAGTTCGATTCTCGGAGGGAGCACTTCTCTTTTTGATATCAAAGATAGTGCGCTGTTTTATAGGCCAATAAGAACTACCCCTTACTATGTACGCACCGCCAGCTTTCATTGAAGAGGAAATCTCTACTGAGACGGGCAGCATTGTCTTGAAAGTCTTTTTAGATAAGGATCTCCGCCATCTTCATGTTTTCGCTATCCAAGCTGGAACTCTTCGTGATTACAGTTCTAATCTCAAATCAGCCATTAAGTCACTAGCTAAGTTCAAAAAGCTCAATGTAATCTGCTATCTTGCCTCTAACACCAACCTCGACATTCTCACAGGCCAACTCAACCGCAAGCTCACCATCCTCCTAGGCCTGACCAACAACAACCCTATCAACTAACTCCTAGCAACATAATCCGATTGTAATACATTTCAACTCAATCTAATCCAACCCAATCTAATCCAACTCAACTCAACCCAAATCACAACAAATCACAACCCAATCTAAATTTAACAACAATTTACTATTACCTCAACTTAATCACAACTTAACTTAATTCAATACTAACTCAACTCAACCCAATCCTAACCCAACCCAATCACAACCCCACTCAATCTTAATCTAAGTTGTTTGCTAAATTTTACATGGATGGCCCCCGCTTCTCTAAGCTTAAGTCTGCTTTTGAAAAGATGCTTGATCAAATCTTCCAAGAAACAGATAGTCTGCCCATCTCTGCCAAAGAGGAAATTCAATCGCAATTCACTCAAATCCTTCTTAAGTACTCCCTGCCCTCTAAACTCAATGAACTAGATGCCAGACTCGAACGGCCCACCCCATTTTATGACGTCACCAACGAATCAGAAATAGAGAAGATTCTTACTTCTTATCTTCATTTACCCATCTCTCAATTTCTTAATGCTATCTCTACAGAAGAACTCAAAATCAAAAGAGAGATAAGTAAGTGCCAAGAAGCCGAGACAGAACAGGACAAAGAAATAGCAGACCTTACCACTCAGATCATTGCCTGGGCAGATAGAGTTAAGACTTCTATCCATGCGATCCGGCGGCACGCCCAATAAATCTATATGTTTTTTGCTTTCACATGAACTTTGTTGGGAGAGTCTTTAACTCAGTTTCCGATTTATACAAAGATATTAACCCAAGTCAATTATGTGGGGCAAATGACGTAATTGTAATTAGAACCAGAAAAGGCTTGGAATCAACTGGATTCTATGCTAGATTTGGTGATGTCCGATCTTTTAACAACTCGAAAGAAGTCATTCTGACGGTCAATGACAAGGTTGTCAATGTTGAGACGCGTTTGGACAAAGATGGCAATCTCTTCTTTTCTCTGCATAGTAGTCCGCGTTGTGAAGTTGAGATTCTTGATTACAGTACGGCCTCGGGCCATCGCACTATTAAAGGCTTAATTGAGTCCAGTGGTAATTATGCTTATTTATTGGCTAATCACGAAGCACTAGCTGAAGCCTTAATTGGCCGGCGGTTTATCTTCTCTGAGTGCTTACATAAGCAAATAGTCCCTCCTGGGAAAATCATAGATACGTTTAATGCCAATCAAACCCATAACTTTTTAGGGGGTGATACGGTTGTAGTTGGTCTTTATAAAACAGTAGCTAGTAATCCTGATTTCTTGATGTCCTTTTCACTCTTCTCTGAGTTGTACTTCTGCTTGGAAAGAAGAGCAGCTCGAGATGAAAGTAAGACAACCACTGGGAAGTACTTGATCAAGCACCTACTGCGCAAACGGGCCAAGCCTAAACAGAACCAGAGTAGTACTGAGAAACAAGTCTTTCTGCCTGAAACTCATTTACAAGAAATGAACTTACGGCCTGGTCCTAATAAGTGTGTTTATCGTCTTTCAGGCACTCATATTGTTTTGACTTGTACTATCTATCTTTGGGATGAGAATGATAAGATTGTTATTTCTGATATTGATGGAACAATTACTAAAAGTGACTTAATTGGGTATATTTATGGAGCGATGGGCCGAGATTGGACCCATGCCGGTATTGCTCCCTTATACACTAAGATCCAAGAGAATGGCTACCAGATAGTTTATTTATCTTCCCGACCAATCGGACATATTGGACTAACTCGGGCCTACTTAGAAAGAGTAGAACAAGATGGGGCACGTTTACCCACAGGTCCAGTTATTCTCTTCCCAGGCCGGCTTCTTTCAGCCATCTACCGGGAAGTAGTTATCGGACCAGAAGAACATAAAATAACAATTATCTCAGAGATCAAAAGCTTGTTGAAAACCGGCGAAGTCTTTGCCGGATTTGGTAACAAAGAAAGTGACCGAACGGCTTATGAACTCTGTGAAATAGATCCAGGCCGGATTTTCATTGTCAATCCTCTAGGAGAGATCTCAACCGGTAAAAATGGCCTAGTCAAACTAACCCATCAAACACTTCTGCATATGGTAGATGGCGTCTTCCCAGCTGTAAACACTCTTATATGGGGAGTGCCTCAAATGTATCGTGGAGTAACATGGTGGAACAGTGCTTCACCTGAGGAATAGATAAATCTTGCTGGTTTGTTTTTGTAACATGACCGAGACTGAGAAGCGAATACAAAGTCCCGTACAGGCCTTCAAAGAAACAACTCTTCCTGAAGAGGAAAAGACCAACCGAGTGGCCGAACTAGCCAGACAATTAGAAAAGACTCTTGATGTAAATCACTTTCTGAACACTCGTTTTAATCGGCACAATCATTCATTATGTGAGAGATTGCGCAAGGAGCGAGAGGCCGCGAAGAAGGAAGAGTAGGATTGAGGTGGGTTTGAGTTGAGGTGGGGTTGGGTTGGGGTTAGGATTTAGTTGGGATAAGATAAGATCTGTGTTTTGATTTGTTTTGGGTTAGTATTTAGATGGGTATTTAGATGAGTAATTAGATAAGCAACTAGATAAGTAATTAGTCTTTTTTGTTTGGCTTATCTTGAATTTTGAATTTTGAATTTTGGTTTAACTTAAAATTGGGTTAGTATTAGGTTAAGTTAGTGTTTGTTTAATGATTTGCTTATTCTGATTATTTCTACTGATAGGACAAGTGGGAGATAGTCGTATTTCATTAAAGACTAGTTAGTATTTCTTTTGATTATATTTAGATAGCATTACTTAAATGGTTACTGGGATATTGCTTAATGTGGGTGAGTATGAGGGATTACGTGAGTATGCTGGGGATGTGTTTCATACAAGGTGAAGAACTCTTTGATGGTGACGCGTGGTATTTGAAGGGAATAAGCTAGATCACCGGGATAGTGGATGGGGTAGTAGACGGGGAAGGTTTGAAGAGGTTCGATTGAGACTAGGCCGAGGGCTTTGAGAATAGCTGAACTAAGCAGAAGGACTAAGCGCTCGGGTTGGGGTTCGGCTTCGATTAGAGTTAGAGTTTGCTTGTTGCCAGGGAGGGCTAGGGAGAAGTAGGGTGAGTTTTGGCCGGACTCAAACAAAGTATCGGCAAGACGTTCAAGACGGCAGGGAGTAATAAGAATAAAGGATCTTTGGACATGGCCTTCTTTGGAAAGAGCAGATAAGTGCTCGGATAGTTCAATGGTTGAAGTGGGACAGGAGTGCTGTTCTAAATGCCAATTGGCAATTTCAAGAGGCGCAAAGACGGGATGGAGGTGGTAGTAGTGTTTAGGACTGCATTTAGTGAGGGCATAATTGAGAGCAGTCTCAACAATGGAGAAGACTTCTCTAACTTTGTCAAAGACGTCCATTTCATGTCTAGCATACTGGTCTGCTACAGGAGTGGAGAGGTATATGTCGATGGGGATATTAGCTACATCAAGTGGATAAACAAGTGGACGGTCCTTAGGAATAGAGTAGGGGCCGTGGGTCGGGCGGACGGAGTAACGGGGTTGGTTGTACGTGCAACCAACTGAGATACCCATAAGAATAACAAGCAGGAATAGCATTCCGAACGCCTGGCAATGACTTAAGTATTAAGTGCTGAAACAATTCATTATCTGTCTAATATAACACCATTTCATATCACACTCTGGCCACCAATAAGATTGCCTTAAATTGAGATTGCGTTAAGTTAAGTTAACGTCAAGTCGGATTAAGTTGGCATTGGATTGGGTTAGATTGGGTTACAGTTAAGTTGATTTGGTCTTGAATGTAGTAGTTAGAATACCCATCCAATAATTCAATCTACTAACCCAATACGAACCTAATACCAATCTAATACCAATCTAATATTAACAAGTTTGATATTAATGCTATCGTGACCTAGGGAGAGATACCCTCAGAGCTAGTAGTACAGAAGCAAAGAAATAGTAATGACTAGTTGTTTATTTGGTGGCTTTGTAAATGCCCGATTCGGGCTTCTTAGAGGGTTTAGTGGGGGAGTTGCTGTCAGTTTTTGGGGGATTCTTTTGCAGGGCCAAGCGGAGATTGATAAAGTCTTTAATGTACTTTCGAGCAATATCTAGTTGCATGGAAGTTTTGATTGCTTCAAAATCATGCCGTTTTTTCATCTTATCAATTGTTTTGGTTATCATTTCGTAAAGACGTTCGTCATCTTCAATTGTTCCCTGCTTCTTAATTAGTGCTAGCATTTCATTGACATTTAAGTCCTGATTGGTTGAGCCATGGCCGGGCTCTTTGCCAAGCATGTTCTCAAGTGCCTCAATGGAAGGAGCCCGGGGAAGGCCGGACCTATCCATTTGTGGTGAGCCTGTTGAACTGCTTGATGGTGAAGATGGATCAGAAAACTGGTACGCATTACTGGTTAGGCTAGTATTAGGAAGACTTGTTGTTTCGGCCTGGCCAGTTTGGGCGGATGTTTCGGTATTAGCTGGAATGCGGCCGCCCAGGACCGCAACTCTTTTAGCCTTATTGGCTTTAGAAGTACGCAAAGACATTGGCATGTCCTGGGTCATCAGAGTAGCACTTGGTTCTGGTTTAGCTTCAGTATTTTCTGACGTCTTCTTACTCCCTTCAAAAGGTGACTGCAGAAGTGAGCAGATACTAAGCTTCTCTTTCAATGAATCCAACAATCCCGTAGATTTAGGTTTCGATTGTGAATGAGATGCGTTGGATTTAGATTGCGATTGCGATGCGTTTGATTTAGGCTGCGAATGAGATGTGTTCGATTTAGGCTGCGATCGTTGTGATTGAGATGAATTGGGTTTAGATTGAAATGATAAGGAAGTAGAAGACTGAGCTTGAGTAGCCCCATTCGGCCGCATAAAAGTGTTCATTTGGGTACTTGATGAAGCAGAAGCAGCATAAGCACTTTGAAGGGCTCGGCTTATCTCAATATTTGAATTGGGTATTTGATTCGGCGCACATGATGAAGTCGTATCTGAAGAATCATTATAGGCCTCACACGGAGACAAAGACGAGCTTGAAGACATTCTTTCCAAATACTCTAAATACTCATTAGATCTTTTTGAATCTAATTGAGCCTTTTCTTTATCTTGAGTGATTTTCAAAAGAGTCTCTATCTTACTTTTGATTTCTAAAATCTCCGATTTTTGTTCCTCTTCTATCTTCCGTCTTAGCATTTGTTCTTGTCTAGACTCTTTCTTATCTATCTCATTCCTAATCCGACCCAAACTCTTTTCTGTTCTTTCTTGGCCACGCAAATCATGAGCTGTTTTAGCGTTCACTTTATCCGTGTAAGTTCTTTCTAAATGGGCAAACGACTGACCAAGTCTGTCTTTCAGGCTCCACATATTCATTGCTTGGGTTTGTCTTGGTATTAAAGACGTGTTTCAGAACCAACAAATAAGGACCAGTCTTGAGTTGTTATTGCATTAGCTTAGCATTTAGTTAGTAGTTAGATAAGATTTAGATAAGATTTAGTTAGCAGTTAGATAAGGTCTAGTTAGTATTTAGATAAGATCTAGTTAGTATTTAGATAAGAGTTAGTGTAATGTTGTCATACGATCATAATCCCACTCCAATGATCAATCTGATAAGCCACTCACTACTTAGCATACACTGCTTAGTACTAATACTAAGCCAATACTAACACCATCTTATTCCAACACACCCTTATTTACTCAATAAATAGTACCCACCCTTATCACAAGGAATATCTTATTGGGTTAGCATTTAGTTAGTAGTTAGTTAGTAGTTAGATAATATTTAGATAATATTTAGATAAGATCAACTTAGTAGTTAGATAAGACTAACCCAACCCAATACCAACTCAATACAACACAATTTAAGATAGTAAATGTTTATTAGGTAGTAAGATAAAGCAATCATCAATTAACAATCAAATTAAGATATGATTTTGAGATATGATTTAGGTTATGAAATAAGATATGATTTTGAGATAAGATAAAACCAAAGACCATCTAAATATAACCCAATCCAATACTAGCCTAAACAAATACTAGCTTATAAAGACTTACGCTGCTCACTCGAAGTAGTTTCCTCTTTAGTTTCCTCTTTAGCATCCTCCTTAGTACTACTAATACCGCTCTTATCACTACTACTACTAACCTTATCTTTAGTTTCCTCTTTAGTACTACTAACACCAATCTTATCACTACTAACACCACTCTTATCACTACTACTAATCTTATCACTACTACTAACCATATCACTACTACTAACCTTATCTCCACCCATATCAATTGCTAAGTTATGCTTACGTCCTGCTTCTACTGCAGCCAAAAACTCCTGAGCCTCTTCAGTACTGCTAAACCTAGCCAAGTACTTCTGAATCGGACCTAAACCATCTTCACAATTATCACCAATAGCAGTCCACATCCAGGCATTTTCAGCCTTAGGATACTTCTGCATAACTACGGCCTGGCTAATGAAGTGATTACATCCATACTTTTGAGTCTTCTCTTTGATAAGCAAGATACGATACTTATTACTTTGCGGTTCTATACTAACTCTTATCTTACCATCTCCACGTTCAACCCAACGCTTATCATCGGCTTCGGTCTTAAAACGGTAAAGAGAAACTGTAGCAGTCGAGATAAGCTTATCCTTATCATTTTCACGCATGTACTCTTCTCTTTTCTTACGGATGAGTTCTTCTTCAGTTTCATGGGCATCTAAGTCTTCAGTATCTAAATTCTTATCAGTAGGTGAATTTTGATTTGGATTGTTTTGGTTTAGTTGGGGGTCGTTAATTGGGGTAAAAGGACGTTCTTCTGTCATGGGGTAGCAAATAAAAAAGAAAAAAATGGAGAACGAGGGGATCGAACCCCCGACCTTCCGCATGCAAAGCGGACACTCTACCACTGAGCTAGTCCCCCGGTCAAAAGGATGGTTAGTATTGGGTGTAATTAGGGGTAAGTATGGGGTGGTCGGCTTGGGTTAGTATTGGGGGGTGTTGGTTTTCTTTATGGAAGAGGTCCGGGGGATAGTGGGTAGCTTGGTGCAACAAGTAACCAGAATGTTTTATGAGCCGCACCATGTGGTAATTATGGACATTATGCTGCAACATTTGGTTTTGGATGAAGAGGATTTAGCAGATAAGATGAAGTTGTTGCCGCGTGAGTTTAGTCGGATGGCGGTTAAGTTGAAAGATGATAGATTGTTATCTTTTGAAACAATTAGTGATTTGAAAGAAGATGGCCGGCAAGTAACTACTACTAAGTTCTTTTTGGACTTTAGGTTGATTAGAGATATTGTGAAGTACAAGATCTATACGATGACTCAGAAGTTGGAGAAGAAAATGAGGGCTTCAGAAAGTGCGATTGATTTTGGGTGTTTATCTTGTGGTACTTCTTATTCTGTTTTGGATGCTCAATCTTACTTATCAGTTGATGATTATACGTTTAGGTGTCCTGAATGTCAAGCTGAGTTACATGAGAAGAAGGAGAGGAATGTAGATGAGAAAGAATCGGCTTCAACGGTCTTTTCCTTGATGATGGAAGAGATTGCACCGATTATTCAGCAGTTGAAAGAAATTGACCGTTTGGGTATTCCTGAGATGTTAAGAGGGAAGATCATTCTTTCACAAGCGAGTGCGGAAGTGCCTAAGCTGACTAGTAAGTTTGCTGATGAAGAGGAGGAAGAAGGAGAGGAAGAAGAAGGATTGGAAGACCTTCCTGATAGTCTAGGTAGTGGTAAGTCTAAATCACCAGAGATCTTGATAGGTATGGAAGAGAAGGAAGTAGATAAGAAGGAAGCGAGTGAAATTGAAGAGATGATTACGGTTAATGGTGTACCTACTAAGTTCAAAGATGTTACTGAAAGTGATAAGGAACTTATGAATGAAGAGGAGTATGAGAAGTACTTTGAGTTATATGAGAAATGGGTAGGTTAAGTCTTTGGAGTGAGTGTGAAGATAAGATGGAATAAATTTTGATTTCCTAATTGGGTTACAGTTGAGATAAGATCTAGATTTATTTGTTATCTAATTGAGATGGTATTAAGTTAGGGTGGGGTGGGTTAGGTTGAGATGGGGTGGTATTGCGGTGGTATAAATTATCCTTTGAGAACGAGTAGTTGAGTTAGCTTGCATATCTTTTGTGATAGTTGGGTGGTCTCACAAAAATCAACTACTTTATCTATGCTCTTGTAGACATCTTGGGATTCTTCTGGAAGAGAGGTTAAAGAATCAGCATGGACTAGAACGGCGGCGGCTTCTATTTGGGCAAGAGTGCTGGCTAGGGCAATTTGGGTGCGGGCATCTTTACGACGTACTAGTCGGCCGGAACCATGGCAGGTCGTGTGGTTAGTTACTTGGGAATTATGACCGGCTTTGATCAAGTACCCACCAGTAGTCATTGATCCGCCTACAAAGACAGGTGAAATAGATGGGAAGAGTTGGTTAGCAGTTGCTGAAAAAGGTGGATGGACTTTAGTTGAACCTTTACGTAGGGAAAGGACTGGTTTAGTATTGATCTTTTCCTTAGTAATTAGATTATGTGGTGAGTCACTAATCAGTGTAAGTTTAGCCCCTGTAAAGATAGTACCAAGTACATTTTCAACCGCCTTACCAATCATAGTCCGATTACAAAAGGCATAATTAGCTAGAGCAGCTACTAACTCTAAATACTCCTCTCCTTTACTTGAACATACGTCTAACCGAACTGGATTCTCACCAACTAACCCATTCTCAGCCGTTAAAGATGACATAAACTCAGTTAAGGCCCGAGATGCTATCCCCCGACTACCCGTATGTACAGCTACATAAACTACTTCCTTACTCATTCCCAGCAACTCAATATCTTCCCTAGCAAAGATATCTGTAATCCGTAAAAACTCCAAGTAGTGATTACCACCTCCTAAAGTACCCATATGCATACTACCCCGAAACCTAGCTTTTTGACCCACTATCTTATAAGAAGATACACTCATTTCTCCACACATATCTGTACCTAATCTATCCTCCCGACTAATTATTCCAACCGACTCTAAGTACCCCAATCCTTCCACTAGAACCCGTTTCATATCCAAACTACTCGGTTCATTACGAATCTGAATAGGTACAGCCTCTTTTATACCAGCCAAAACTTCCTCTTGCTTACTCAGAAACTCACTAACCCGTACATTACTCTGCCAAATCCGCACACCACAATTAACATCCGAACCAATTGCTTCCGGTAAAATCTCACCTCCTCCACCACCTTCACTCAACTCTTCAAACCAAGCACTTACTCCCACTGGAAATCCCTTCCCAGCATGGACATCTGGTAAACCCACTAAACGACCCATTATTCCTTTCACACTAGCCATTCTACCCATCTGATCAACCACAGCTTCATTCACATCACCACTAAACAAGTACAACCAGTACTCTTTCGGCACATAAATCCAACACTCCACTAACATTCCCGGTATAAACTCCAATCCCAAGACCAAACATTCATTATTCCCTCTTATCATACTTAAATCACCCTTCCCCAAGTACTCCCCTCTAATTCCACTACTATCCAAATCAATCGCCACTAAGTCCATTGCAGACAAGCAAAAAAACCACCTCCCACTTACTACCCCTCTCCTCTTTCCTCTCCTCTTTCCTCTCCTAAACACTACCACTAACTACTACCATCAACTCAACTCAACTCAATCCAAACCCAACTCAACTCAATACCAAACTTAACCCAACTCAAACTCAACTCAATACCAAACTAGATACCAACTCAATATAAGCCTATTTTCTTTTTGAGCCTATGACTGAAAAGGAGAAGATGATAAACAAGCTTAGTAATACTAAATCCTTCTTAGAAGGAAATACTAATTCTAACTCTAATTCAACCACAACACCTCTAAATAACAATTCAACAACTTTAGATAACAATTTAATTCCATCTGAATCTACCACCTCAACTCAATCTACCAATCAATCTACTACCAACCCATCTGAATCTACTACCAACTCAACTCAATCAGAACCTCTACTAAAGAAGATAGAACAACCAGAAGAAGACTTACTATTTAGTGAGAGATGTACTCTTTATAAGAAAGAGGGTAGTAATTGGGAAGAGAAGAGTATAGGTACTGTTTTAGGCAAGCAAATAGAAGGAAAAGGAGTTCAAGTCTTGTTTGCTATGGATAACACTAGAAATATCCTTAATGTGCTTATCAGTAAGAAAGACTGTTTTAAGCAGAACAAAGGCAATATAGTCTTTTTAGGGATTAATGAGGGTGAAATGGGTATGTACTGTTTAGTCATTAAGAATGAACAGAAGTCGGCTGAGATAGTAGCAGCTGTGCATACTCATTGTGCTTAGTCTAAAAATGTCACCACCCGGGATCGAACCGGGGACCTCATCCGTGTAAAGGATGCGTGATAACCACTACACTATGGTGACTTGGTTACTCAATAAATGGTACTTGGACTAGTATTAGGTTAAGTTAGTATTAAGTTAAGTTAGATTAGATTAGTATTGGGTTGTGTTTGGGTTAAGTTAGATTAGATTAGTATTGGGTTGTGTTTGGGTTAAGTTAGATTAGATTAGTATTACTTGTGCTATCTTATGCTATAACATGTCGGTTGTATAATGCGACTCATGTAGTAGGTAGTAACCCAAGTAATAACTCAAGTAGTATGTAGTAACTCAAGTAACAAGTAGTAGGTAATAACTCAAATAGTAAGTAGTAACCTAAGTACTAACCCAAATACCCACACAAATACCAACTCAAATACCAACTCAAATGCCAACCCAAGTACTAACCCAAATACCAACTCAAATACCCACACAAATAAATGATTGTGGTGATTTGCCTTATTGGGAAAAATTGGAGATATATAAGGGTTGGTGTGGTACTTGGGGTATGATACGCGGGAAAATAGGACTGTTGGGAGTAGTGCTGTTGGGCTTGCTTAGAATGGTTCGGGGGTTGAGCTTGGTTTATGCGGAGAAGACAGTTAGTATATACAACTTGATTCTTACGAATTGGGTATACTTTGGAGTTAGTATTTGCTTGGGGACTTTGGTGGCGATGTTTACGGCGGCGGCTTTTCTCTCTTCGTGCTTTGGGAAGTCGAGTCGGAAAACGTGTGTGTTCTTGGGGTTTTGGATGACGTGCTCTTCAATGGTACTGATTTTATTGTTGCCGGTTTCGGCGCATAATCTAACGGGTGGCTTGTTTAAGTTGGGGTTGGTGGGTGTGGTTCCGGTGCTGGCTTCAATTAACTTGTTGGCTCGACAGGCACGGTTGTTTAAGAGTCGGGGAATGCTGCTAAGTATGGCGATTGGGGTGGGTCTATTTGTAGGTTGCTGCCTGGTTGGATTTCCTTTGATTGCGGCTATGCTGGCTGTTCTGCCTTTGTTGTACTTGGACTTGGACGATATGTTGCATAAACCGGATAGAAATGGATCAATTGAACATACTAAGTATGCTAGACGTGTGCTGGTTTTTATGGTGGTGACTTACTTGATCTGTTGTATGGTGATCCTTGCTTTGCACTGGATGGTTGAAATGGCGGAAATCCGGCGGATGTTGGAAGAGGAGCACCAGCGGGAGTTAGAAAGACTGGCTGAGGAGGCACGTAAGAAATTGGAAGGCCAGTTGCCGACTCGGCCTACGCCTACTATTGATGAGATAAATGAAATTGATGGGAGTCCGGTCTTTGGAATAGGATTCAATCGTATTTTTGATATGATTAGACCTTACTTGCCTAAGTTTAAATTGGGACCGCTGTAATCTAATTGGATCGTTGGGGGCAATTCAAAACATACTGGTCTGAAACCTTCTAAAGTCTCCAACAAAACAAAGCAGAGATGGAAGGGGTCAAGGTAGAGAAACAAGCGCGGCAGATCCCTCTGGCGATAAGTATACCAATAATGTGTGTGGTTGGTTCGCAGTTTTATGTGAATTTGTTACTTTGTGAAATGTCAGATCCGTATGAAGTTTTTATCGCGATTTTAGTTGGGATCTTCTCATTTACTACTCAATTAGGAAAACGGTCTAAGAATAAGATCTTGGGCGGGTCTTTGGCCTCTGGTTTGCTCTTCTTTCTGCCGGGTGGATGGTTAAGAGCGGCGTGTATTGGGTTTTTTGGGTCGTATCTGCAAACAGTTGGTGAAGTGTACACGATTTCGCTTTCTTTGAAGTCGTTTCGCTCGGATGCAGTTAGTCTTTACAACCTGTTGTTGACGGTTTTATCGGCTTCTATCTTCTTTGCTCTGGCCTTTTTGCCGATTAAGAGTGTGATGGATTCGTTCTTCTTTGTGATTCCTGTTCTGTGTATGCAGGGCGTGCTGGTATGGTTTGGTGTGCCGGCACCGCCTTTGGAAATACTTAAGGAGAAAGGCAACGATTCGGTCCTCTATGATGAGGTGTACAAGAGTTTGGCCGCACTGTTTCATAAGGCGGAGTTTGCGGACTTTCACCAGGAGTATGCTGAGTTGGTGGATCATGATAGTGGCACACGGATTCCTCCTAAGACTAGGTTTTGGGCGGTGGTAGAGAAGGTTAATGTTTCTTTCTTATCAACTGCTCTTTTAGGTGTTCTATCAACGGAATCATCAAACTCGGCTTATTTAGTGATCTTTGCGAGTACGACTATGTTTAGTTGGTTGCATGCGAATAAGATGCCGGAACGGCACGTGGAAATGTGTGTGCTGATGGTTAGCACTCTTTTACTCTTTGTAGTTCTGTTGTATGAAGTGAGACCGATGTTTGTTATTATTATGGCCTGTAGTGTCTATTTGGTGCCAAGTGAGGATGGATATCTTTCACTGGACTCGTATGTCATTGTAGTAGCCAATGCAGCCAGAAGTGTTCTGGGAGCTTTTCTATTTGCCTTTATGCTCAGGGACAAGTTGGTGTAAGACAGACCAGTTGGTAGCTGCTGTTAAGAACAATAGCCTGTTCATTATAGATATACACATTTCACAACATAATAAAATATCAACTATCACTTCTACGGTATTGAGTTAGTATTGGGTTGGGTTATGTGAGGATAAGTTAGGTTAGTATTGAGTTAGTATTGAGTTAGGTAAGAATGCTGTGTGGTTGAGATGAGATGAAATGAGATGAAATAGTAATTGAGATAATAAACTCGCTGATTTATTGGTTAGTATTGAGTTAGGGCTACGGTGGTGTTTGAGTGCTGTTAGAGTGGTAGTGTGCTGGTGCTGGTGTTGAGTTACTTCTTTCTGGCGATCTGCTCATCTTTCAGACCTTCGGCTAGAGCTGCTGCTTGGGCGGCTTTGGCACACTCAGTAGAATTCTTGTGGACGGAACACTTATGAGCGTCTTTATTAGCCTTAAGAGATTCTGTTAAATCTTCAATATCCGACTCTTCAACATCTGACTTATTATCGTCATATTTGGCGGCAGCTTCTTTAAGAGCCCTGTTTCGCTTTTGTTTTTGTCTTTGATATTCATCGATCTCATCGTTGTTATCAGATTCGCTATGCTCTTTTTCTCGAGCAACTACTTCGCCATCTTCACTCTTAGTTCGTTCCACTGTTTCGTTTTTACTCGTCCGTGCTGGATCACCATTAGTACTGTGTGAAGTACTATTCTGAACCTTTTGCACTGTTTCTTCCAAACTCTTAGTGGCCGCTGAGGCCATTTGTCCCGCAGGTGACTTTTTAGCTACTGATACGGCTGTATCTCCTATCCCCTGAGCAATACTACCTAATGTTCCCAAAATACCAGAACCATCTGCCAACACAATCTGTACCATATTCAGAACCCCAAAACAGAATAAGCCCTTCATACTAACCCAATACTAACTCAATATATACCTTAACCCATCAATAATCCACCCTACTTATCTCCAATTGGCCACTCAAATCACTTTCTCACTGGCCACCCCTATCACATCCCTATCAAACCTATCAAAACCCACCACCATCCAGCAGCTCACCCCAATACTAACTTAATACTAATTTAATACTAACTTAATACTAACTTAACTCTTTATTCAGTTGACTTACCACACCACACCTCACATAAACTCAACTTAACTTAACTTAACCCAGAAATCAGTTAGTCGAGAAGTACTCAAACTATGCAGTAAAACATTCATTCCAGCATGTAAGTTCAAAAACAACTCTTCTACATACTTAAAGGAATAGTAACTACACCCAATATCTTCCTGTGTAAGTGGGTCAATCAGACTAATATGACCTGCAGCCGATTTATTCGACCGCCTACTGAACTGCCCCGTCTTAGGATGCAGACTCACGTTCATATAATTCATGTCCTTACCATACAACTGAAAGAAGTCCATTAGTAATGCTCCTAAACTATCATTCAGCTCAATAGACTTACCTTGAACTAAGGGATGACTTCGCAAGAACCCTTCAATCAGTAATATCAACAAATACTCCTTTAAAATCCCAGACATATTCCAAAGCTTCCTTTGCTTCAGTATATGTCCTATTACTAGTGCCATTTGCTGAGCTACTGGAAACTCCTTTAATAACCGCCTAATATAACTAATACCTTCCTCTACCCGATCAATTCCATACAAAGTCACTGTATAGACTAAACCAGGTGATTTAAAAGTAATAAAAGGATAGATAGCATTACTCCCTTGAATAACTGTACTCGGCTCAGCTACTTTTTTCAACTCTTCCATTACTTGCCAAAGCTTATCAACTGAATTACAAAATAGTTCAATTGTTTTAGGCTCAACTCCTATCTGTAAATTTTCCATTGTATAAATAACTACTCCTGCCTTATCTCCCACTTCTATCACTCTTTTACAGATATAATTTCGACTTTCTAACTCTTCTTTAGTACAACTCAGCCTATCTACTAAATCTCTTACTTCTAATTCCAATCTATTATTCTTCTGACCAGCATGTGGACTTAATTCAGACTTAAGATGCTTCATTAGAGGAATAGAAACAACACGATTAGATTCACTTCGTCCTTTAATCTCCCGCTTCATTAAAAAATTGGGTTAGTTTGGTGTTGTGTTAGATTGAGTTGAGTTTAGTATTGGGTTAGATTGAGTTGGTGTTGAGTTAGATTGGGTTTAGTTTAGTATTAAATTGATATTAGATTGTGCTTTTGTTTAGTGCTTTTGAATTCGTACTTATTAGCTATACTTATGTTGAGTTAAGTTTAGTTAAGTTTGGTTTGGTTGAGTTAACTACAAACTTAGCTTAGCTAAAGTAACCCCATCATAATAGCATAATACGATATCTAGATTAGTAATTTAACAACTAGATCAACTCAATCTAATGTCAATCTAACCTAATGCCAATCTAATCCAATCTAATACTAAACCAACTCAATCCAATCTAATACTAACTCAATAACAACTCAAACTTAACCTAATTTATTCATAGATCAAAGCATGATCAAAGATAACGTTACTTTCTGGATTGAATCCTGTAGTCCAAAGACCAACTTCCTTCTTGGCGTTCTCAAAGGAATCAGAAGCATGGCAAAGATTACGGCCAGTAGCTACAGCTAAATCACCACGAATAGTACCAACTTCGGCTTCAGCTGGATTAGTTGCTCCTAAAAGCTTTCTAATACCAGCTACTACGTTATCACCCGAAACAATCATTTTAACAACCGGACCAGAAGTCATATATTCAAGAATAGCTGGGAAGAAAGGCTTATCTTTTAAGTGGCCGTAATGCTCTTCTAAGACTTCTTTCTTAGCTAAATCAGTCTGAATGTATTCGATACCAAAACCTTTCTTTTCAATCCTGGTAATAATTTCACCAACTAATCTACGTTTTACTCCATCGGGTTTAATCATAACATAAGTATATTCCATCTGCCTAGGGCTAAAAAATAAAAAGATATGGTTTGAATTGAGTTGGTATTATGTTAGTATTGAGTTAGTAGTTGATTAGGTTGAGTTTGGATTGTATTGTATTGAGTTTGTTGTGTTAGTATTGTATTTGGTTGAGTTAGTATTAGATTAAATTGTATTTGTTGTTTTTGGTTTGGTATCTAATTTCGTGTTTATTCTTATCTTAATTCAATAGTATAGACTGAAGTTGGGTTGTAGTAATATCAAAAGTAAAACCAAAATAATGACGTAATATTTTGAAAATAGATTGGGTTTAGTTTGAAAATTTAAAAAGAGTCAAGTTAGTATTGAATTGAGTTAGTATTGGGTAGGGTGGAATGGGATGAGTTAGGATGAAATGGGGTAGGATGAAATTGGACGGTTAAAAACAAAAAGAAAGATAGCACAGATATGATTAATATTTATAATAAATATTTCAGGAGAGTATTGTAGCCGGCGGGGTATTTTTCAGCTGATTCGGGTGATAGATAGCTAGTTAGAGTGCTTTGGAGTAATTCAGTGGGGGTTTGGGGTGTGGGTTTGGTAGTAGATTTAGATTTGGAGTTGGAATTGGTGGTTGTTTGGGAAGGTTGTTGGTTTAGATGGGGTTGTGGTAGCTGCTTTTGGGTCGGGTTAGTATTGGATGGAGTTGAATTGGTGGTTGTAGATGGGAATTTGAAGAGGTCGCTGAATGGGTCGGATTGAGTTAGATTGGATTGGGTTAAGTTGGATTGGGTTAAGTTGGAAGGGGATGGTTTGGGCTTGGGTGTGGATTTGGAGGTGGAGGTTGGTTTCTCTTCGGGTGTAGATGAGTTGTAGTTGACAAATTGGTTAAGCATAGAGGCTAGATCAAAGCCAGAGGAGGAATTATCTGGAGATTGGGTGGATTGAGTGGATTGGGTGGATGGAAGTGATTTGCTATCATTATTGGAGTTAGTATTGAATTGAGTGGAATTGTTGGAATTGTTGGAATTGTTGGTGGAATGAGCTGAGATGGAGTCTTGGTTTTGGGTGAGATTGGAGTTCATGTAGGGTGTGTTTAGGCCACTGAAGAAGTTAAAGCCACCGGTTAGATTGTTAGTGAGATTGGTTAGTGGGTTAGACGTAGAACTAGAGGTAGTATTAAAAGAAGTGCTGGTGTTAGGGGTAGAAGAAGTGCTAACGGTGGTGGTCGTTGGAGATGGTTGGGGTGGTTGAGGTAGAGTGGATGTAGTTAGAGAGGTCTGGGTGGGGAGGGATGAAATAGCAGTGGTGGTTGTAGTGGTGGGAAGGGTTGATGGTGAGTTAGTTGGGGTGGTGGGATTGTTGCCGTTTAAAATACTTGTGAGGCTTGGGTTGGGTGCAGTTAAATTGCTGGTGTTGCTTAAGGTATTTAAAGACAAATTGCTTAGTCCATTAAGTCCGGTTAGTCCATTAAGAGAATTTAGGGAGTTTAGTCCGGTGCTACTATTGGGTAAACTGGGTGTAGATACAAGTGAAGTTGGCTGAGGGGTTGGGAGGGCGTTAGGGAGAGGGAGCCCGGAGAAGTAGGGCTTACCAACTGTGGGCGAGGCAAGAGAGGAAGAAAGGCTCGTGGGGGAAGAGATAGACTTAGCTGCTGGTGTAGCCAGAGACTTACTAGGTGATGAAGAGGTTAGATTGTTCTTGGAGGGAGTAGTTAAGTTAGCCGATTGGGTGAGGAAAGAAGAGAAACTGTTCTGGGATCCAATGGTGTTCATGACATTATCTAGGATGTTAGAGACCGCATTACTAGGAGGTGAAGGTGTGGTGGTTGAAAGAAGCACGGGTTGGCTTGGTGGAGAAGAAGAGATAATTGTGGTGGGGGGTGGCACTGAATTTGAGATAGTTGCTGACAGAAGTTGGTCCGTAGGAGAGAAGGTGCTTGGAGGAGTATGTGCTGGGGATGGTTGAAGTTGCCGGCTAGTATTAATCACTGGTGAAGTAAGGGCGTGGTAGACTGTCTGGGCTGATGATGGTATTGCCGGTGCTACTACCGGTGGTGTAGGTAGGGATAGTGTCGGTGAGGGTGGAGGTGGGGGTAGCAGAAAAGGCGGTGGAGATTGGTGTAGAGAGGTAGTTGGGGGTGGAGTTGAAGGCCGGAAAGAGGAAGAAGAACCAATTGAGTGGCGGGGTGGGTAGAGAAGGTCTCTTTCAGAACGGTTTTTGATATGTTTGGTATGAATCCGGTCTAGGACTGGGTGAAGATCGGCTGGATCTCGAGAATGTCTTGAATGGCCGTAAAGTATATCTTTGATTTTGGGTTTTGGAGGTGCCTTGATATCTGAAGAGGAGTCGTCGGAGTGAGACTCTCTAAATGAGCTTGGTGAGTATTGCTTCTTGGTCTTATTCTTATTCTTGCGATTGTGTCGGGCTTCGTCACTGCTTGATGACCAGTCTGTCTCTTTGTCACTATCTATCTCCCTATCTGGGCTGTGTTTGGATTTTGGTCTTAGTTTGGCCCGTTTGGTTAATAGGGACGGTATGGAGTCTTTGGGTTTGGTTTTGGACCGTGAGTTGCGGCGGTAGTGGATTTCTTCATCCTGGCGGGAGTCGGAGTCGTCGTCATCAAGAGGTCTTTTCTGGCGGCGCCGGATTTTGGTTTTGGTAATGACTTCTTTATCTCCGGTGGTTTGCATTAGCTTATCTAGAATTTCCTGTTCTTCATGGTCAAGGGACTGTTTCTTGGTAGTCCGAGTTGTGTGCTCGATGATAGGGGCTGTAGGAATGTTCAGAAGTGAGGAAGAGGAAGAAATCATCTTACCGAGCTGGCCTAGTTTCTTCTGAATACGATTGTGATAGGGTAAGTCTTGGTCAATTTTTAGATCTTGATCGGAGAATTCGTTCAAATCATCGAGACCAAAAGAATGAGGCTTATTGGTATGCGGTTTATCAGAGTAGGATGGTGGTGATGTGGGTGGATAATAGTCTCGAGGGGGAGGAGAATGGCGCATGGGTCTTCTTCGCGGTCGTCGCTGTGGTGGATGTCGGGGGGCCATGTCATCGAAGTCAAGTAAGTCCGGCGGCTGAGCACCCGGTCTATGGTCACGTCGAGGAGGCATATGTCTGGGATCAGGCGGGTGCCCGGGCATGTCCATGGGATAGTTGGGCTTAAATTGATCGGGAGGCGGGTAAGGAGGTCGACCGGGATAGGGATTGAAACTAGGCATGTTCATATCTCCAAATTGGATTGGTGGTCGTTCTGGCCCTTGGCCCCGTCTTGATCGCGGTCGTGGTGGGGGGATGAAGCCTCTATTATAGGGATCCATAGGCGGAGAGCCCGGGAAAGGGTACTGGTCCTGGTAGTAGGGATCCTGTTGTAAGCCATCGGGTCGAGCGGGGATTGGTCCATTGCCAAGAGGAGGCTTAGAATAGTAGTCATCGCGGTCGTTCCTTGGTGGGTCAGAAGAAATAGACGGAGAACCATCAACTGTTTCCATAAAGAAGCGAGCAATAGCCTTCTCATTCTTACTACAGTTCTCGAAATAGAACTTACTGTCCACTTCTTTCAAGCAGTTGCCATTACCAGCTCGCTCAAAATGAAGCATTCCCCGGCCTTCTTCTACAAAGACTACATCAAAGGGATCAGAGCCCACGAAATCATCGCTTTCCAAATCATGGATTTCTTTAGACGGCCGAATATGTGTATGTGCACGCGGTTTATCGTAAATGCTGGTTTTGTTATAGACACGTTCAATTGGCGGAGGCCCGAAGTTCAAACCGGGCGGCCAGTTATTGTCCGTATTGCCCGGATTATCGTACTCCTTTATGTAATGTTCAGTGTAGTTAGGCGCGCGGCGTTCGTGTGAAGGGAGCCTTTCTTTGCGAACAAAGGCCTTACCGCCATCCGCCTCAACACCAATTGTGTAGAAAGAGCCATTATGCTCAAAGTATATCTTGCGATTGTAAACGCGTACAGACTCGCCATTAGCCAGTGGCCCCAGACGGAGACCAATGCCATCAGTAGTGAGATAGAGACCAGAGGACCGCACAGAGCGCAACACGCGCTTGCAGAGAACCTCCCAGGACAGCATAGCGAGCACAATGAATAGACGACGCATTGTTATTGTTTCTATTACTTCCCTATTTATTGGCGGGCCTAAATTCAAGCCTAACACAATCGCAAACAGAAGGTTTCAGACCGAGTAGCCAGAGGCTGATGTGACATTCCACCAATCATTTCTATATCTCAACCAGCCCAATAACAAACCCAATCCTAACCCATCCAACACCAACCAACCCACTACTACACTCATATCCCAACTAATCCAATACTACCGTTTAATCAGTAAATTAAACCAAAACCCAATCCAATCCAATCTAATCCTAACCCAACCTAACCCAATACTATTTACGACAAGACAACTTGTCTAATAAGCCAATACTAACCCAATAGAACAACAACATACAACATATAATATTAACATAATACAAACTCAACGCTTATATCTTAACTAAACCAAAATATTCTAACTAACTAAGTTGCTTTATTGAGCAATGCGTATCATAGCTAAACGTGTGCTCATTCGCTGTGATGGGCACTTTAGGCAGTAGCGGTAACGGCCACAGGGGCGGCGGGTATAACTATTTCCTTACCTGCTTCCTTGCTAGGCTCGGCTGGAGTCTCATCTTTCTTGGTAGAGTGTTGGGAAACAGTAACTGTTACATCAACATCAGTGTGCTCAGGGATCTTAGGAAGAGTATCCTCAATCTTCTTGAGTTCTTGGAGTTGGAAAGCATTGAGCGACTCGGCAGTAACAAAGCCGTACACATCAGAAGTGTTCTCCACGAGATCTAGAAGCTGCATGTATTTCAAAAGAGTCAACTCGTATCGGATTAAGGCCTTGCCAATAATGTCAGTAACTTCGACGGCAGACGTGTCTGGTTGGATGTCGTAGGCATGCACAGACTGGTTGAAGGCCGAAACGTGCTTAGCAACTTGAGAATCAGACGTGGTGTGCACATTGAAAGTAGCCACATGCACAAATTGTTCCAGATCAGCCACAAATCGAAGGAAAGTGTTGATCTCTGCAATAAGAGCGTTGTTGTGGTCGCGGAAAAGAGCCAAGTAAGAATCAAGAGTCATTTGGGATTTGTTTAAAGTGAGGTGGTTGATTGTAGTTTCAATCTTCCAGCAGGCAGAATTAAACCGGGCGCGAGCTTCTGGGAGAACGTGTACGTAGTGGGTGATAACATCAAGCATGCAAAGAAGTCTTTCAGTCTCATAGGCCTCTGGGTGGTGCTTAATGAGATTTTGGTTTTCCTTGTATTCCAAGAGCTTCGCTCCAATAGTGGCACGTCGTTCACTTAAACCGCCAAGGTTAAGCCGCTTAGCAATAGTAGCAACGATGCCTTTGATAATGTCGCAGAGATTCTCATCATTAGCCATACCATGTTCTTGCATCTTTAAGAAGCCAAACACATCATCGTTAGCCTTTTCCAACTCTTCTTCAGTTAAGTTGTAGAGCATCCAATGGTTAATAGTGGGGTTACCAAAGAAAATAGTAGGCCAGATAAGATAGTGGGCCTTCTTGAAGATTTCATCCTTACCCGGGAACACGTCAACATCAACTTTAGAAAGCAAGTATTGGAGGTTTTTGATAAGAGATTCTTTCTTAGCTGTCTTACTTTGGTTAGTCTTAAGCACAACCAATGGCTTAAAGTTTCGCTCAATAATACGACTGTTCTCAAGATGAATACCCATTTCAGCTACGCTAAGTGCTTCAATACCGCCTTCTACTTGAGGAGAGCTCTTCTTGAACCAGCCAAGGTTAGTGATACGACTGAAGAATCCTTTCTTGGGGGCAGTTATCACCTTCTGTGGTTCTTTGCCCTTGGTAGTTACTTCAGAAGCACCATAGTATCGCGTGGGGATAATGTTCTCCTTCTCGAAAAGGTGTTTGACGTTCTTAGGGGTGATTTTAGTGTACGTATCAGTCGAGTCTTTAGATAATATCTTAAAGAAAGGCACTGGCTTTCTGGCTTCTCCTGTTTCAGTTCCTGTTTGACTGGCCATCTCACCTACGCTATATCTTTGATATAAAACGTAAGCACCGGAGGCAATAAGCAGTCCAAGCACACCAACAGATGCGCACATAAATAAGTTCTTCTTACTTATCGTCTTTCGTTCCATAAAATGCAAAAATTGATCAAACTAAATGTTAAAAATTTACGAATTTTCCTTATATGGAAATATTTTATGACATCATGATTCTGCCAAAATTTCAAATTCTTGCAAATTCAAATTAAAATCAGTCCGGCCTAAAATCACCTAAAAATCACCAAAATCACTATCACCAAACTTCTCATCATCACAAACACCCTCAGCCCACCCCAATTCAATCCTAACTCAATCCCAACCCAATCTATCTTTGATTTCATCACCACAAAACAAAGTCATAATCTCATTAAAAACCTACCATCTTCTCCAGTAGTCCATCCTAACCGATCTCAACTCAATCCAACCCAACCTAACCCACCCCACCCCAATCCAAATACTAACTCAATTCAATCCAAATACTAACACAATCTAAGTTGACTATCGCTAAGTTACTAAAAGCGTGGATTTTTTAACTTTTACAATGTACGCACAGTCCCAACAACCAACTAATGAGCCTTTACCCGAAATAATAGTGCCTAATCCACCTTCTGATAGCATTTCTTCCCTGGCCTACAGTCCGGTCAGTGATGTTTTAACCGCCTGTTCCTGGGACGGCTCTATTTATATCTACAGCCCATCTTCACCCGAATCTCACGAAACAATGTCCCTGAAAACATCTATTCCTAACACCAACTCATCGCCTATTCTTTGCAGTTGCTTCTCTAATGATGGCGCATTCCTTTATACCGGTAGTGCTGATGGTAAAATCAGAATTCTTGATATGAGTTCTGGCAATCTAAATGAGCTGGTAGGACATAGTGTTGGTATTGGGTGTATGACCTTTACAGCTTCTGGGTTTCTAGTAACTGGAGGTTGGGATAAAAGATTGAAGGTTTGGGATCTCATGACTTCACAAACACCCATTAAAGAGATATTAATGGATCATAAGATTTTTGCTTTAGATTCCAAAGATAGATCTATTGTAGTTGGTCTTTCTAACAATCAATTAGTTACTTATGATTCTCATCGGTTTGAAAAGGTTAAGCTGCCAACTATTAGTAGTTCGTATCGTGGGGGGTATGGGTACAAAGCTCCTGGTCAAATGTCGCTGAATCGGTCGTATGAGAGTGGTAGTAAGTACGTTCCTAAGATTAATTGGCAGATTCGGAGTATTTCCTGTTCTAATGATGGGAATGTCGCTTTAGTCTCTTCTATTGAATCTAAAGTAGATTTAGTGGCTGTTCAGCCTATGGAAGATACGCCTAACAATTACTTCTATAGTTTTAAGTGTCATAAAACCGACCGTGTTCTTTATCCAGTTAACAAAGTGATGTTCCATCCGATCTTCCAGACGACAGTAGTTACCTTTGGAGGAGATGGTAGTTATACGCTTTGGGACCGACTGGCCTTGACCAGACTAAGAACAGGAGGTCCTCAAAATGACATGTCTATCACTACTGCTGCCTTTGATAAAACAGGCCGGTTTATGGCCTATGCGATTGGATACGACTGGAGCAAAGGATTCCGAGCTCAAATTCCCGTACCAGTGGAGATAAGAATCGTAAGTGTTCCAGAAAACGTGCATAAGCAACAACCATAGAGGCTAGTATGGGTGTACCACAATAAATAAGTCGGTATTAGTATTAAGTTGAGTTGAGTTAGTAGTAAGTTGAGTTGAGTTGGTATTGTATTGAGTTAGTATTAGTATTGAGTTGAGTTGATATTGTATTGTGTTAAGTTAGTAGCAAGTTAGTGTTATATTGTATTAAGTTGATATCTAGATGGCATTACCTTTGATATTTGGACTATAACAACTCAGTGGTCTACAGTTTGATTCAGTTAAGGCAGGACAAGTTAAGGCAATTTACTACCCAGCATCTAAATAGTATCTAAATACTAAACTAACACAACACAACTCATCTAAATACTAAACTAACACAACACAACTCATCTAAATACTAACCCAATAATACTATACTAATTGAAGAGGGTCTTTATTGTTTACGGGTAGTTTACTTACTAGTGGAGATTTCTATCTGCTTCATAATTGGGTTGGTGCTGCTGGATTTCTTGAGGGCTTTGATGAGACTTTTCTTTTCCTCGAGATAAGCTCGGCAGATATTGAGCTCGGAAAGAGCCGTTTGTAATTTGGTTTGAAACTCATCTAACTTGCGGTTTCTAACCCGGGCTTCGTGCTGGTGTTCTTTCTCTTTCTCCTCTAAGCAATTGGCCAACCAGTTTTCATTCTTCTCTCTATCCGCACTCCACTTAATAAACAGATCGCTTAAGGTAGTGAAGTCACGAATGCCTAATTCGCCTGCTATAGCTAGGGCTTCTGGTGTTAAGTGAATGCGGCGTTGAAGATCTTCGATCTGGCCGTTAAGTTGGTCCTCGCGCTGGCGTAGTTTCGCATTCTCTTCCCGAGCGGCTTCTAGCTTCTGTGCAGCCGCTTTAGCTTCTTCTTGCACTCTCGCTGCCATCTGCCCGGTGCTAGTTAGTCGCTCTGTACAGTGCACCTGCTCTCTTTGGATCTTACTTACAATGCGCTGGAAATGTCTATCCAAATCATCTACAGTCGATAGAGTCTTACTCGTCCGGCCGGTAGCCAATTCAACTCGTTTAATCTCTTCCACTACCCCATTAACTATCCGCTGCATCTCAGCCTCAGCCCGTTGCATTGAGCCATGCAACTGAGTCACTCGATTTTGCAAGTAACTAATCTGTTTCTCTCGCTCGGCAATAATCCCTTCTGCCCGACTCTGTACTGATACGACTTGCTCGGCCACACTCCGCTTCTCCTTCTTAAGCTCCTCCACTACCTTCTCTCCTAAGAGTTGCTGCTTCTCTAAGTTAGTGGCATGAGTAACGAGTTCTTCTAGTTTTTGTTGCGCAGTGTTTAGTTTACTCTTTAGAGTTTCATTCTCAGCGACTATTTGGTGCTTTTGATTTACTTCGCTTTTGAAATCAGTTTCTAAACTTTTGGCAAACTCATCCAGTTTCACATACTCTTCCTTGATAGCCCGATAAGCCTCTGAGATCTTGCTAATCTCTTCTTTTAGCATCTCGTTCTCTTCTAAGTTAGACTTAACTGCTACTATCTCGGCACGCATGGTTTGAAGAGCTTGTTGACTCTCTTGCTCTTTTTGGTGTTTGTAAGCTATATGCTCGGAGAGTTTAATACAATCGTTCTTAAGTCGAGTTTTCTCCTCCTGCATACGTTCTAGGGTCTGGGTGGTTTCTGTATACAAACTTTCTAAACTCTCTTTCTCGGCCAGAAGAGTTTCCATAGCACTTTTGGCTTCGGCTAGAATTTGGTTTGTTTCGATTGACTTCTTCTTGCAATCACAGGGTGGATTGATAGATAAGTTTGTTTGCATTGTATGCTCTCTAAGCTGGGCTTTTAGATGGCTAATCTGCATTTTGAGTTCGAAATTCTCTCTTTCCATTGTAGCGATAAGATGGTCGTGTTCTTTAATGGGTGGACCTCTAGTGAAGGGAAGTGCGTCCATTTTTCTGCTTGGTTTTTTGGCGGGATATGTTTATTACTCTGGCTTATGGATCTAATGGTGGTACTGCTAGGTCGATAGCAGGTATTTTGGCCGGTAAGATCGAGATGGTTGGAAATTTAGAATTATCGGGATTTTCAGGGTGTATTGTGGTGGAAATGGATCAAATTGAAGTAAATCAGCTGGCTAAAATGGGTATAGTTGTGTTTGTTTGTGCGACAACGGGTGATGGTGAGTGTCCGTATAACATGCAGGGGTTTTGGTGGGAACTTAAGCGGCGTATATGGACGGGGGCGTTTGAGCAGTTGTTCTATGCGGTGGTTGGGTTGGGCGATTCGTTGTATAGCAAGTACAACTATGCTGGGAAACGGTTGTTCAATCGGATGAAACAAGTGGGCGGGGTGGCTCTTTGTGGTCGTTGTGATTGTGATAGTATGGATAGTCGAGGTGTATACAGTGCTTTGGAGACGTGGGTGCCTGAGTTTTTGGCGGGCTTGCGTAGTCAGTGGAGTAGTATTGTTAGTGGCCCGGGGAATGAATGGAGTAAAAAGGGGTTAGTTGGGGTGAAACCAGCAACTAGTTGGGGAGTTTTAAAGTCCCGTCGAAGAATAGCTCCGTATGGCGAAGTAGATGATCTGTCAACCAAAGGATCCTTTTATTCAGAGGTCTTAGAAGTGGTCTTACAAATAGATAAGCCGGTTGGAATAGAAAGTGCGACCAACTCGGATGAGAGTGTTAGAGATGGTAAGGATGAAAGTGCTAGAGATGGTAAGGAGGAGGATTTGAATCCACATACGAATGTGATGACGTACAGTCCAGGGGATGTTTTGGAGGTATACCCGGAGAATTTAGACTACTTGGAGTTCTTGGCGGAGGCAGTAGAAGGAGAGGTAGAGGAAGCAGAACAGTTTGCCTACTTGGACTACCAAAAAGTACCTATGCACCATGAGATTGGCCGGGTGTACGAGTGTCTAGTGAATAAACAGGGTGTTCGGTTTAAGGACGATGTGCCGGACGAAACACTCTTCCTGGGCCGGTTGCAAGAAATAGCAGAGACGTATGATGAGTACTATGCGTACGTGGTTGCACCACAGCGGACTTTTAGAGAAGTACTTAGAGATCTGTTTTTGGTGGTACGGACTAGTGCCGGTCTGTTTAGTCCCATCTTTCCTCGGTACTACACAATTAGTAAATGCGATGGGTGCTTGTACAGCCTAACAGTTGGTGTGGTTAAAAGGTACACTAAACTGGCCCAGCCACGAAAAGGCCTTTGCTCGGAGTACTTAAAAGGCCTGGAAATTGGCCGGCGTGTCCGTGTGCGACAGCGCAAGTCGCACATGCCGCTTGAAGGGGACTTATTCATGATTTGTTCAGGGACGGGTATTTCTCTACCTAGAGCAACTATTCATGCTTATTTAGAAGGACATTTGCCGCAGGTAAGTAGTATTCATCTTCTATTTGGATTTAGATCGGTGCTTTACGACTGGCTGCACCATGATGAACTGGCTATTGGTCCGCCAATGCTAGTGCATGGGAAGACAGGTGTTGTTTTGCAGTATACTTTGCTATCTAAGGATAAGCAGCGGAGTGTAGTTCTTTTTGCGGCTCCATCAAGATTGGGGGAAGAGCCGGAGCAGCTAATATCTCTAGGACAGCCTAGTCCGTCTGATGGTTTGACTTGGCCCGCTGTGCCTCGGAAGAATTACTTGGCAGGCGTTCTGCATATGCTTGATAAGAGTATCTTGTTCAAAAACATTATTATTAGTGGCGCATCAAGACTAGCCAAGACATTGCCACCGGTAATTGAAGCTATTTTGCAGACCCAAGTTCATTTTTATTCGGAGTGTTGGTAGTTGTATCAAAAGTTGTTGTTTTTGCCAGTCCTATTTTGAAGATGATCTTAGTTTGGGCAGTCCTTAACTAACACATGCTTAAAATAGGACTGGTTATTGCCAACGATACGGCAGTACCACTCCTGAAACGTGCTATTAAGTTGGGCTTTTTGTTCTCCATTAGCGTACTGAAGGGCAAACCCTGTGGCGTCAACTAGCAGGGTTGGATCATTTAGCCATTGGGATACATAGACATTAGGCCAATAAATACTATACAAATTAGTGCTTTCATCAGTAAATACCTGGTCGCAAATTGGAATTGGTTTTGTAACTGTAAGCTCGCAAGCTAGATGTGTTTCATTCTGAAAGGAAATATTAGGCGTGCGCAAGCCAAGATAGTCCAGACACTGGCCCAATGTAACATTGTCGTTTGAATAGAAGGGACTGGGTAGATCCGGTGAGTTGTACGACTTTAGAAGTACTAAGGCCAAACAGATACTTAGCGTCAACCCGGCTACAAAGAAGAGCCCGATCATGATCATATATAATGGCAGCACACTAATAGGTTTAGGTGGAGAGAATATTGCCTCCACTGAATCTTCCAAAGGCCGGCTATTCATAACTAACGACCGGCCATCGTTCCTAATATTAGAGCTACCGGCCACTAAAACGCCAAACCCTACTATCCAACCGAGCACTTGCCAACCTAATACACCTTGCATTCTATTTTTTGTCTATCTCGATATAAATCATGATTGTTAAAATCACTTATTCTTGTGAGAAAGAGCCCAACATAAGCTCTATTTTGTCACGACTTATTCCTAACCCAATATCAACTTAATACCACCCCAATACTAACTCAATGCAATACCAACTCAATATTAACCTAACTCAATATTAACCTAACCTCTCAAAATGTCCGACAAAATAGCATACTAGTATTAGACGCATACGAATCAGAACCCAATTTATTCCTCACCATCCTCGTCATCACTATGTCCTCTCATATTCAATGCACCCTGCCTTATAATCTTATGAGCTATATTTGTGTATTCCACGGGATTGACTTCGTATAATGCATTCCAAACATTAAGCACGAAATTCCTATTCATTCCGTCCGGTTGATCCAGCGCACTTTGGTTTAGGTAGTGGGATCCGTTGGGATGAAAGTATCTTTTCATGAACTCCCCGGTGATATAATCAGCCGTCAGCCCAAACACCCTGCCTTTAACTCCAGCAGGAGCATAGGAAACATTGCTACCTACGGGTATGCCTTCGTCCAGCTTAATCGTGGTTGGCAGTGCACAGATCGGCACCTCTCCTATTAATCTATCAGTGGACAAGTTCTTAAGTGGGAAATTAAGCACGTAAACCCCTGTTTTCAAGTCATTGCAGATGTATTCGTGTTTGAACGATATTGCCGCGCATAACTCAGCTACTTTTCTTAAAACCACTAACTGCACGTTCTGAAAGATCGCAATTAAGATAATAATCGAGGCCACTGATAGTGCAAAGATAAGAAACATGAAAATAGGCCGTTGACTACAACAGGACCACATATGCTGTAAACGCCAAAAGCATTTCCTTTCTAAGTCTTTAGTCTGTCTCTGTATTGTGCCCTTTTTTGGTATCTGCGGTGACAAGTCACCGATCTCAGCTGCATGGTCTCTCCTGCTCGACTGTTCTCGCCATTGGTTTAACTCAATATTCTCCGCTAAAGCAGTACCTAGCACCACTCCCAAACTAACTAGCCCAACTAACCACAATCCAACCCCATACCTACGCATTTCTTGTATCCCAACCCAACCCCATTCCTATTTAACCCTCTCTTCTACTGATACCAAGACCGATCATCCAAAATCCCCAAATCACTCTATCTAAACCTATACAATCTAAATCTTCAAAAGTATCATTTAATTAACCCATTACAAAGCCCACTTAATCCAACTCAACACAATCCCAACACAATATCAACACAATACTAACACAATACGAACCCATAGACCCCTTCGTGTCTTAATAGACCCAATACCAACCCATTACTCAAGTTAATTAGAGTAATTAGCCCAAATGTGGCAGAATAACCTTAAATTAAGGAAAGATGCAATCTATGTCATAAATTACAGTCGAATAGACCGACAATCATACCTAATTAGGGTTAGTCTAGACTATTATTTAAAGGTCTGATTTCTGATGAAACTATAAATACCCTAGCACTTCCCTAATCAATGAGAAAGTTCCTAGTTGTTTCCTTATGTCTACTTGTCGTCATGATGATTACTGTACGAGCAGCCAGTGATGACGCATCCACCGATAGCAAGAAGGCTAACCCCAAAAAGAAGACCGGCGCCAGCAACAGCCAAGATGACGACAGCGATGACGAGAGCAAAGATACCACCAAGAAGATGGTAACCAAGTCTTCAAATGCCACCACCAGTGCCGGATCTGGCCTTGCAATTGGATGTATCTTTATGGCATCTATCGCAGCCTTCTCCCTGCTGTAAAATAAACACATCTATGTTTAGCCGGGTTAGTATAGTATTGGGTTAAGTTTTGTGTAATGGATTGTCGGATTGTTTTAGTTTAGTTTAGTTTAGTGTATTGTTAAGTTGAGTTAAGTTGAATTGGGTTAAGTTGAGTTGAATTTATTGGTATTGAATTAGTGCTAGCTAAATACAGGATGACTATTACTTATCTTTGGCTGGCACTTGCGTAATGGTGTTAGACTTTCTTTGTCCTGCTAACTTGAAGTACTTCACCTCTTTATCTTGCAGCCTAAGATTTACTTTAATCTAAGCCAACTCAATTCTTATCTTATCTTAACCAAAACAGCAAACAAAATACAACCCAACACAGCACAACACAACACAATTACATTAAACTTAACACCAAACTCAACTCAACACCAAACTCAACTCAACCCAATACATAACTCCTTTATTCAATTCAAAACATTCATTATCCAGCACTAATTTGATTAAAGGCTAAACCAATTATTGTCCAGGAGATCTTCCTTTAATGCTGTAATTTGTTTGGTAGATCTTAAATTTTAGAATCAAACTCATTATTTGTTATCGTTTTAATTAACAATTAATTAAATTCTTATCTATAAATATTCTTTTGTTTTGCTCAACATGGTAAAACTTTTGAAGATATGCGGAGTTGTGGCATGCGTTAGCGCTTTTGCTATCTCTAGTGCACTGGCCGATACTACAGCGGCCGCCAAAAACGTGGACAAAGTCAGCATTGATATGGCTTCTTTACGTTTTGAAAATGCCAAACCGGCCAAGATAGAACCAAGTAAATCTACTAAAGCTACAAGTACTTCTGGGAAGTCCACTACTGGTGAGGCTAGCAAAACCGGAGCAGCTGGAAAGTCCGGTGAGGCCAGCAAGCCCGATGAATCGGCTAATCCAACCACTAGTGACAAGTCCGCCAAGAGTACCGATGGTGAAAAGAAGACCTATGCTGATGACGATGTAGTTGGTAGTGTCAATCTTGTTTTCAGTCTTAACCGAACAAACAGCGATCCTATCTACAAGTCCTTCCTAGGCGACACTCAAAAACAACAAGATTACATAACTCAACTCAAAGATCTCATCAAAACCGAGTCGCTTACTAACATTAAAGCCCAAGTTAGAAGTTCTAAAATCGGTGCTTCCGAAGATGATGCCGTCAATGCTAACAATTCCGTTATTGTCGATATAGACATGTCTAAGGTCGAGAGTATTGGTGAGCAACTAAAGCGGCAAATGCCAAACTTCAAGTTAGGTTCAGAAGTAACCATTGAATTACCTCTTAAGCTCAAGGACTTAAATGCCATTCAGGACCAGATGAATCCCTCTGATGACAAATCCGCTGTTTGCTTCAGTCTCTCCAACATGCCAATCCCTAGGTTAGATAAGGATAAAGATGATCTTGTTCTGAAACCCCAAACTTCGCACATTACTGCTACGTTTTACACCTCTGCTGTTCCTTGCCGCCAAGTCATTGATGGCATTAAGGATTCCACTGATTCGGAACACTTTTTATCGAAGTACTGGCACTTCATTCTGATCGCCTGCGTCCTTGTTGTTGGACTCTTTGGTGGTTTTATCTACTTCATGAATTCTAAGAGTTCCAGTTAAATCATCAATAAGCAATAATAAAGCACTGAGTTTATTTTGACCTACTACATCGGATAAATATGGCAACGAGATCTTAGGGTCTTCCATATCTTTTTTATCTCCTCATTTAAAATCAAGACTCCATCCCAATCCTATCACCATTCATCCTATTATACAACTACTACTTACACTAACTCAATACCCTCCTATACCCAACCCAACACCAAACACAATCCTAAACCAATTTGAGAATGCATTTGGAAATCTTCTCTAGTTTTTTGTGCACAGATAAGAAGTATTTGATATCTTCATTTGGGCCTTCGTCACAGATATACTGAAAAGACCCAAAAATAAACACAATACATAATATCTCTGATGAAAGTCTAATCAAAGCTCGTCTTATATCTCGATGGACCTCTATCCTAAAATTAACACTTTCCTGTTGCTCCCACTTCCTATACACTTCCTCTTCTTCTCCTACAACCCAACCTCGCTGCAATATTAAGGCCCGATTAGTCCTTACTTCTAAATCAGTCTGTTGCCGCCTAATAAACTCTCGTCTCTCCCAACACTTAAGCAAGAAATCCCCTACTAAGTACCCAGTAGTATAAAGAAGTAACCGCCGCCTAAAATTCAAAACAACCGCCAAAGATAGCACTAATAATTTTGATAGATAATTTAAATAACTTCTCAAGTACTTCATTCTTTCTCCAGCTATCTCCACCTCATAAATCACTCTATTAACTCTATCCAGTACAACTTCTGAACTCTCCCCAGTCCGAACTGCACTTTCCACCAATAAATGCCGTTTCCAAGCCGATTCCTTCACATGCGCTCGTTCAGCCACTATAAACAGTGTTTCCTTCCATGGCAGTATCGCTAAACAGACTTGTAAACCCATTAAACGAACGGCCAGTCCAGTCTTAAATGAAAACAATATCCGAGCATGTTCCAAAGATAAGCTCTTTTGCAAGAAACATAAGCCATTAAACCCGACTAAACAGACCACTTGCCAAAGTTTTAGATAGCCAATATAGATCGAGTTAAGCATTCCACCTAAAATTTATTTATGGGGTTGTGGTATGAAGTCCGTTTGAAAATGAGTTTCACGATCATCGGATTGTTCATCAGTTGGGTGCAAAATAAAAGGAACATATTGATCTTGGAATAAATGTGATGCATCTTCCATTTCTTCTATTTCTTCTATTTCGGGTGGAGTTAAACTTGAATTAGGTTGTGATTGAGATGGGGTGGGTTGTGATTCAGATAAGATTGGGTTAGGTTGTGATTTTGATTCAGATTGAGATAAGACTGAATTAGGTTGAGATAGAGATTCAGATTGAGATAAGACTGAATTAGGTTGAGATAGAGATTCAGATTGAGATAAGACTGAATTAGGTTGAGATAGAGATTCAGATAGATATTCAGATGAATTAAGTTGATATTTTGTTTTTGATTGAGATAAGGATGGGGTAGAATGGGAATGAGATAGGGATAGGTTGGTAAGTGAAGGGGTGGATGAGATAGTCATGGGTATATCTTCAGAAGTTTCAGCTAGGAAAACAGCTGGATTAGTAGCAGAAGGAAAGTCAGAGGCTTGAGAACCACTACTAATCTCCATTTGAGAAAGTCTTCGTAGATCATCAATTTCAGCTTCAGAAGTAGTAGAATTAGTAGATAAAGAATTAGTTGAATTATTAGATAAAGAATTAGACTGAGTAGTAGTTGTATCAGCAGCTGATCGATCAAAATGACTCTCTTCTTCATTTAGGGACTCCAGTAACTTCTGTTCTAACTCTTCTCTCTCCATAAGATTAGATTGAGTTGAATTAGTAGTAGGTACTAAACTAATTGTATCAATATTAGCAATACTATCAACCTCAGCAATCGGCATTGAAGATAACAAATTAATACCATCCTCATTCTTATCACTAATCTCACCACTCTTATCAATCTTATCAACCTCATCCTTATCACTCTTATTACTACTAGTAGGAGTACTCTCTAGTGCATCTACTAGAGTGACTTGGGCATCTGTATGGGGTACTTCATTGAAATATCCATCACCTACTTCACATCTTAAACTGCCCTCCTCAGTAGGTGATAGTTCAACTAGTCTAATTGTAGCTGTACCTGTATTGTAAACCCATAAACGAACTGAACCTCCTCTATTACGCCAAATAAACCCAGCAAACTCATTATAATCTGTAAAAGCTCCTTCATCACTACCTATGATGTAATCTTGTTCCTTTTGTAAGCGAGCATCTAAAGCAGAAGAGTTGTAGGCAATATCTAAGATACGGAAAGTAGCTGGGGCCATTGTTCGAGTTTGAATTTTGATACTAAACCCTATCTTTTCATTGGGTTGATCATTACTTTTGTTTAATCTTATCTCAAAAGTATCTTTAGTTCTAGCATCATAGATAGTTAGATTGACTTGACCTAGACTAGTCCAGGCTTCACTTATCCGGCTAATATCATGCTCAGAAGAGACTGGAACTCCAGTAATACCAATTACATAGTGAAAAATAGGAAGAACTCCTGCTCGGCCGGCTGGAGACTCTTTTGCTACTCGGACAATCTGTAAAGAAGGCCCAGTTCTTGTACTTGTAGTGGTACCCATGCGATAAACAGAAAATTTTATTGGGGAAGTACTAGGTTGGGCTTGTATTTGCTTGTTTTAGGGGTATTAAAGGGTTTAAATAAAGGATTAGAGCGGGATAAGAGTGGGGCTAAAGTATTTTTAATGGGATGTATTGAGATTGGGTATTAGAGATGTATTATAGCATAATAGATAAGAAATTAGTTTTGATTTTAGTTTAAGATTTAGTTTGGTATTATGTTGAGTTAGTTATTGTATTGGTTGGTGTTGGTTGGTGTTGGTTGGTATTGGTTGGGTATTGAGGTGAGTTTAGTATTTGTCTAACTCAAACCAACTCAACTCAATACCAACTCAATACTAACTCAATACAACTTAATCTAAATCTTAAACTAAACCCAACTAAATACAAAACCAATAGGAGTTTAAATTGGTTTAGTTTGTAATAATACTATCTACAATACTAATAATACTATCTACGACACTAATAATACTATCTACAATACTAATAATAAACTCTAGCTAAATAACAATCTAAATACTATCTTATCTTTAATGCTAATACTAACTCAATACCAACCCAATTTCACCTAATCAAACACTAATCAAACACTAAACGAACACAATCTAACACTAACTCAATACTAACTCAATACAATAACCAACCCACTCAACTCAACTCAACTCAATCTAATCCTTTGGTATTGTTTTTGATCCAGCGATGGGTGAGGATTTGGTCGACTGTCAGTCTCTTCTCTGGCTCCCGTACTAGTAACCGACTAATAAAGTCCTTACACGCATTGGAGAGATAAGAAGGACAGGCAAAAGTAACTGACTTGATTCTTTTGAATGTCTCCTCTGTACTTCCTTGCGTTTCAAACGGTGGATGCCCAACTAAGAACTCATACGCTAAAACTCCAACTCCCCAAAGATCAACGGCCTTATCATGCTTTTGATGACAAACCATCTCTGGTGGAAGATAGTCCATGGTTCCACAAAAAGTATATCTTTTACTATCTATATTATGCACAGCCCATCCAAAATCAGCGACTTTAAGTCGATCGTCAGCTCCTATCAGTAAATTTTCTGGCTTGATATCACGATGGATGACGTTTTTACTATGGATGTACTGTAAGGCTCTGGCCATCTGAGCAATGTATCTGGCGGCTTCTGGCTCAGTAAATCGCTTCTTGTGTTGGAGTAATTTGAACATTTCACCTTTGGCTGCATACTCTAGGATTATATACACGTGAAGATCGTCATAGAAGTAGCCGTAGAGTCTTAAGATGTTCTCGTGTTGGAGATGACTTTGAATTTCTATTTCGCGTCTTACTTGTTTTGTAGCATTAGAGTTGGTTATTTCGGATTTAAGTAAGATCTTTAAGGCAACAATAAAGCCGGAGGCTTTTTCACGGGCTAGATAAACTCGGCCAAACTTACCACGGCCTAAAGAAGCCCCAATCTCAAAGTCGTCGAACTTCCACGTACTCATGAAATAAAAGAAAATACAGGTTGGTATTAGTAGTTATCTGGGGGTCTAGAGTGAGTATTGAGGTGTTATTTGGGTTGGGATGGACTTGGGTAGGGTGTGGGTGGATTGGTGATTGGCCAGTTTGGGCGGTGATTGGAGTATTTTTGTTTTGAGGTGAGATTAGGGAGTAAACATGGTTAGAAGTGTTGAGATGTGGGTTTATGATATTTCAAATCCTGGGATTAGGAGTATGTTGGAGTTGGTATTAGGGATTAAAGTAACTGGGATTTGGCATACTTCAGTGGTGGTGTTTGGACGGGAGTACTACTTCCAGTCTGGTATTAGGGCGGATGTGCCGGGGAGTACGCCATTTGGAACGCCGGTGCGGAAAGAGGCTTTTGGGGAGAGCTTGTTGAGTAGTGAAGAGTTCGATCGGTTTTTGTTGGAGCAGCAAGCTTTGTTTTCGGAGCAGACGTATGACTTGTTAGAGAATAATTGCAACCACTTTTCTGATGTTGTGCTGAAATGTCTGGTTGGTCGGGGGACGCCTGAGTATGTAATGGCTCTTTCGGATTTGCTTAAAGGCAGTCCTTTGGCCAAGATAGTCAAAACAGCTCTTGGTTCAGCTTAGGATTAAGGTGTAATAGAGTTTAGTTTGATTGAGTTAGATGGGATGGGGTGATGTGAGGTGATGTGGCTTAGAATGGTGGTTTAATTAAAGGCTGTGATTAGTTGTTCCAATGGATTATATTTTGTGGTTGTTTATCATTAACCGGTGTTAAGTTAGTATTGGGTTAGGTTGGGTTGAGGTGGGATTAGGTGGGGATTAGGTGGGTTAGTAGTGAGGCAAAAAGATGCGAGCACGGTACAATCTATTATTTCTATCCATTAACCAGATTGAATAAAGGCGTATTTTCAACAATAGACTAGGTTTATTTATACCTGAAAGGTAGGATTCATATAGAGATAAAGACGGGGCTATAAAATGACAGATAGGATTTAGAGAATATCATTTGATAAGGGATAACACAAAGTTTGGAAATCTAGTATACATGGGGGCGCTTTGAATTAATAATCTTCACCTGACCAAGAAAGTATCCTTATTACTTTCTATCTTCTCCATTTCGAAATCTCTAATTCCTGGCTATTCCTTTTCGGGTCTTCGCACTTGCTTGCGACTCCCTTACTTATGGCAATTGGGTTGTATTGGACAGAGAGGGGAAGAATGCTAGGTTAGAAGGAATTGGGGGTGTTGAAAAGTATGGTTTAGTATTGGGATAGGTCTGTTGTTATTTGTGCTAAAGGGAGGTAGATGGTTTGCCTGCTTCTAAAGATTCTAATTCGTGTGCGATTCGCCGTACTTTATCATGGTCAAGTACGATGGACGCCCAGTCGTTCCAGATTCTAGCCCATTTAGATAGCATGTCTGGGGGTGGACTTTCTAGATGAAGCAGCAGCCGGCAGGCAATAGTACCTAATAGAATGGCCTGGCTTATTACTATCTCGCAAGTGAGGCGCTGTTCTATTGGCAGGGTATACCACTCCTTCAATATAATTAGCATTAGGCTAGTTTGGGTGTTGCACTGTTGAAGTACTAGAATAGTGCATGAGCTAAGGGTTGTGATATTACCGTCATGCTCTTGGATCATATTCAGGAAGCTTAGCTTGTTTTGAAAATATAGAGTTAGCTCAGGGTCTATGCGATTTTGAGCAAGTATACTCTTCAAACAGTGTGCATAGTACACAAACATGCGCAGCTGAACTGTTACCCATCTTTGGCAATGCTCATTATAAGCTATGTTGGGCATTGTCCACGGTCTTGTGCTTGCTTTGAAATAGTCTGTTATGTCCTTTTTATTGAGCTCAACAGATGTAACCATGTCTTTTGTTGAACTGAGCCCGATCATTGTAAGAACTGTAGCTATTAGAGAGAAGATATTATCGTAGTCTTGAGGATAGGAAAACACGCGATTCTTATTAAGCAATGGTAGTATTATTGAAACTTCCTCAACAAACAAAACTGTCAATCTAAATTCGACTGTGCCCCTAGATTGCTTCTGGCCTGGTACCATCAACTCCCCATTGTCCAGAGTTATTCGGATGCGTTGAAGACCTGTTATAACTAGCTTGGGATTAAAGAGAATTTGCTCTAGAGTGTTACGCCAAGAATGTGCTAGAATGGCCAAATAATTGATCGTGATTTGGTCGTATAATTCAACCTGGTATAAATCGATGCCTTCCAAATGGAAGATCAATTTATGCACAAAATAAGCGGCTTTGATGTGTGGCGAATAGGTATTTCCGAGGTACCTCATTGTTAGGGTGGCCTTTTCCAACGCTGTGTCAGTTGCAGTAATGAATAGAAGATCTATTGGATGATGTATCAGTTCAAGGAACATTCCGAAATCGGGCACAGATTTGGGTGTGCATTTAGCATTCTGGTTGAGTAGGAAATAGATGGACTTGAATCTTTCTTTGATATCCTTAAAGAAATCGCGATAGAAAGATAGAAAATAAGGTGGGAATGGGCTATTATTGGCCCGTTTCGGATAATAAAGAGGTGGGTTAATAATAAGAAGGGCCTTTTTCTGGCAAATAACATTGGCTTGTTTTAGAACTTCTGGGCAAGTAGTTGCTATATTTGATCCCAGATAAGGGGAAATTGTCTCACGCCATTCAACTATCAACAATTGTGTTTTGCTGATATAGTGTTTGATAAGAAGAATCTTAAGATCTGCCAACACCGGGTTGCCAAAGGATTTCTCAGTAAGCCATAACCAAGTTGCTTTGATCCAACGATTGCCGTGATGTTTGGTTTTAATCGCTCCTGTTATGGCCAAATAAACCGGTGGGGTTGAATATAAAATCTGTATGTCCTTCCTAATACCAAAGAACCCCATCCGCTCGTGTTGTGCGGACTCACGCGGTCGGCAATCAAGGAACATATTGTAATCTGTTTGCCTGGCCGGGCAGTATATGGGACAAGAATGGCCTTGAAACATTCCATCTAGATTATATGCTCGACTTAATTCCAGGCCAATTTGGGTCTGATTAGACGTTAGACCATACGAGTTGCTATATCGTATGCATTGATCTCGTTCAATTCTATCCTCACTATTGCAACTAATTAGACCCAATACTAACCCAACAATAACCAACTTCTTTAATCCTGGCTTAATAATACAACACATGTTATCTTTTTTATCTCTTTTATGTTTTATTCCACAATTTCAAAATATCGTACTTCCACTAATATCACTCTTTTTCCCAGCAACTTCACCATCAATTAATTCTATGAAATGTCATATATCGTACATGGCTATTGTAGCGTTCCAGCCGGCCTCCGCTTTAAAATAAGTTCTTGTAATGCTGCTATACGATCACCACCAAATACTAATACGATCAACCTGGTCACTGGCAAGCTACTAACTACTTAGTACTCACTGCTACTAACACGTAGCTTTAATAAAATCGGGGTGGTTTAACCAGAGTAATTTTGCATATCTATCGGCAATTCGATATGACGTCATCCTCTCACACCCACATTTATCTATAAAAGGCACCGGTGCTCGTATCAAGGAATGTCTTTAATAAAGTATGTTTTGGCTAATGAACCATATCTATCCCATGAGCATTACAGCTATCTACAGAGGCAAAGTTCTTTATGATTTGCTGGCCTAGCACTGATCGCAGTGGGTGCCCTTAAAATCTTGAATTAGAGAACACAGTTGTTCTCTTCTGTCCATCTTTCAAACTCTCGTATCTTGTCTTTATTTATTCGCTGGTCTATTTATAGATAGGAAATTTCCTTATTAGGCAATTTTTCTTCTCGTCTTTTAGAAACCGCTAATGTCTTTTAGGAACATACAACAAGCACAATTTCAGAACCTAAACATAATCTGATTTTGAGAACGAATTCTCAGCATGACGTGCGATAATGAGTACAATAATTAGAACACATGTTATAGAAGCCTAATCAAATAGTACTTATCTCACAACTAACCCAATACTTATCCCACAACTAACCCAATACCTATCTAACTATTAAACAAATTATGACTAACCCAATTGTGACAATTTATATACTGGTTATACTGTTGGTTGGGTCGGAAGTATAGTCTTTGCTATCTTTGGGTTTTATGGAGATAAGACTGACCTGTGCAGAAGACAGAAAGAGAGTATCGGCTGAGTTAGTAATCGCCAGAGACTCATTAGGAATTGCGTAAAGAGACTGGTTTGTGAAGGGACAGACACAGCGAGTGTAAAGATCCACACCAGAATAGACTAATGAGTTGTGGAATTCGTGCAGGACTGTTGGTCGGCTTCGGGTTTTAGTAACAGAAAGAGCTTCAAGTTTACGCATATCTAGAGTAGTAAGTCTTTTGTTAGACAAAGACATCACAAGTTCATTGCCAGAACTTAGAAAGCGTCCATTAAGCAGGGTGCCTCGATGCGGAACACTTACCTCTTCCTGTTCAGTGCGCAGATCAAGCAGAGAAGTTCCAGCCCGACTAGAGAGGAGTAAAGTAGCCCCAGCAGGATGAACAGCAATGGGCCGACTAGTTAGCAGTGGATTATTGGAAAGGACTTTGTCTTCCTGAAAGTCATACAGCGCCAGACCGGTTTGGGTTTGAGCCAACACAAGTGGCAGAAAAGAATGGAAGACGCCTCGAGCAAACCCTTCTATCTGTGTTGAATGCCCATGTTTATTATGAATGGTGGTAAGAAGACCATCAGCCTGAAGAATAATCAGCTTATTTTGGAAAGTAGTGATTATTGAAATTTCTTGGTCAGTTACTTGAAACCTTTCCTTGAATTCCAGTTCATTAGTGAAGACCAAGACTTCGCCCGGCCAGACACCAGCATAAAGATGATTGTCAAAGTAATGCAAGACTTGCGATCGTACAGGCAGTCTTCTTTCTTTGTAAATGTCTAATTGACGCACCAAATCATAATTATTTAATCGAGACTGAGAATCAATCTGGGTCGATGGGACTTCCTGGACACGAACAGATTCTTCAATTGCAAGCCGATGGAGATGGAGGCGTGAGTAGATGGCCATAAAATAAAACAAAAGTTTCAGTTGGGTCATACATTGTTTCATCTAGAATATAAGGGACTTCTTTCAGATAACACGAATGAGCAAACTACACAAGATAGTAGGGCTTGCTATCGCGGGGCTCTTTCTGGTAGAGTGTGTGGGTGCGTTTGATAGATCTATGCAGTATGATGATCTAGAAATGTTTGATACGGAAGCCAGAAAACGCCAACACCGGGTAGAAAGGCCCGAGTCCTTTATATCAGCTATTGAAAAAGTCATGTACAAAGACCCGATGCTCAAATCAAAAATGTTTATCTTTTTCAAAAAGCACTTTGGCCCAAATTCAAAATTTATGTCCAGTAATCCCTCCGCTATCTTTTCGGAAAGTGAAGGACTTGTCCCTGACCCTTATGAAGTCTACAGCCAGTTTAAGTCCCTAATCCAAGCAGATCAGATGATCAAAAATGATATGCAAGAACTACTAAAAGTTGTTCAGGGATACATTGATCTGATGCACATGAAACGCCGGGCCTGGTACCAGACCTTGAAGAATGGCCAACATAATCTTGATGAGTTCAAAAGAAGAAAAGCTCGTTCAACTGATGAAATTGCCAGTTCAGAAATTGATAACCAATTTGCCATTGAACTCAAGAAACTCCATAGTTACCTCAAAGCCTATGAGAGTACTACTGTTTGGGAAAAGAAACTCAGCCAACTCCTTGACGAACTATTTCCAGCCTAAATCCAATACTAACCCAATACAAGCCAAACATTCAATAAACCGTATTATTTTGCCACCCAACCAATCTACCGATCTAAACCTATCTACCAATCTAAACCAATCTACACTAGCTTAAATACAACCAATTTAATAATAATTCAAAACCAATAGATAGCTCTACCTACTACTAACTTAACTTGGCTTAAGCTTGGTCTTCAGGTGGCTGGTACGCAGTGTAATACTGACTAAAGAGTGTGGCCAGTCGGGAAGAGGTAACAACCTTCTTTTTGTCTATCGAGCCTGAAGTGACTGTGGCTGGTGCTGGTTTTTGGAAGGGCAGGTCATTTAAAGTCTCCATCATGGAAAAGAGAATATTGGTCTGGCGAGTGCGTGATACTTCCTTTTCCGTTGGGGCCTGATAAACAGTCCCATTCATGACGTAGTAGTAGTCAAGAGTGACGGTTTTTTCAGGAGTGTGGCGATAGCATTTTTTGATAATAAAGAGATAAGGTTCCTCAGCTCGATGAACAACGTACTGGACTCCAGACATCTTTTCTAAAAAGGCTCCCGTGGTCGCTAATGTACTATGTTGGGTCTGCATTTTCAAAACTTCGTTATTACAATTTCGATCGTAAAACTGGGAAAAGGAGAAGTACTCTAAAACAGTATCTGAGGTCAATGGATTGTACTGTAACCAAGCAGGATCTCTAAAACACGTGTTCTCCATGTAAATTTTTATGCGTGTGGCTAAGTCTATAGACTTAACTCATATCTTGATTGTTGGTGCGGGGGGTATTGGTAGTGAATTCATCCATATCCTGCTTGGTTCTTCATTTACTGGTGATTTGGCTATTGTTGATATGGATTTGATTGAAATATCTAACTTAAATCGGCAAACATTCTTTACAGTTGCCGATCTAGGCCAGAATAAAGCCGAGATTCTAAGTGCTAAAGTAAACGAAATATCAAACGGCCGAATTAGAGCTACGGCGTATCCTCTGGCGATTGAAGATCCGCACTTCAGTCCGCAATGGATAGAAAAGTTCGGTTGTGTAGTTAGTTGTCTTGATAATATTGAAGGTCGAGAGTGTCTTAATCGCCTGTGTTTCTTGGCGGGTGTGCCTATCATTGAAAGCGGTAGTGCTGGGTTTTTGGGCCAAGTCCAGACTATTGTCTTTGGCCAGTCGGAATGCTATGTTTGTCGTGGACCTAATACTCGTGCGAATTTTCCAGTTTGCACTATTCGTGGTCGGCCTACCAACTGGCACCATTGTGTACACTGGACGACCCATGAACTTATTCCCGTTCTCTCTTCGCTTAACTTTCCCCTAACCAAAGAAGATCTGGCCGGACATCTTAGTGAGTATAATCGAAGAGCGGACCTCAACCAGCTATACGCTATTTTAACCAATGTTTCTACTCCAGCCGATCTAGTTCAACTAGAAACTATCCATCAGCTAGCCAAATGCCGTGCGTTCTATTTTGCCATTGAGGTACCTTCAGTTTCAGAAACTCAAAACATCATTGATCGCACAGTTCCTTCTATTATCACCACCAATACGATCATTGGCTCACTCATATCTCTTGCTCTTAAAGACCTTTGCACTAACCAGACTCTATATGAGTATTATCTAACCCTCTATAGTCCAATCAAAAAGCTTACCACCTCCCCGCCCGCCAAAGACTGTCCCGTCTGTTCCTGCACGCCCTTACGTCTTGATTTCAACCCCACGGAAACTCTTCACGACCTTTTAGCCAAACATGGTCTTTTCTCTCCTACTATTAGCGTAGTCAGTGAAGGCCATAATCTAGTTTATGATGAAGAGTACACAGCCAACCTCTTCCTTCCAATCACCAATTGGGCCCGTCCCGCGTCTATTTTCAAACTCCATACCGCAACCACCACATACCTCATCTACCTTACACCCATCCCCATCTAACTAAATCCAAACCCAATACTATCTCAACCAAATACTATCTCAACTCAATACTATCTCAACTCAACTAAATACTATCTCATCTCAATCCAAACCCAACTCAACTAAATACTATATCAACTCAATACTAACCCAATACTATCTCAACTTAACTTAACTCAACTAACTACTAACCCAACTCAATACAATCCAATACTAACTCAACTCAACTCAATCTAATCTTAATTTAACCAATCTAGCCCAAATGCCAAGCCAAACACAAATCCAAACAATACCACATGTCTCTAAACATTTAAAACTAGATGAGATGTTTGTCATAATTACAAATCCCATCACATCAAACAAGTCCATCTCAATCCATCCTACACCACCATACCTCACCCCAAGCCAATACCACCACCCACCCAAACTAAACCTCAACTCAACCCAATACTAACAGAAGCTTTATAATGTGGTGTTTATTACAAAACAGTCTACTTGGTAAACTTGAAGAACTGTGAAGTCCCGCCATGGATAGAGTCTTCATTCTGAGTAAGAATCTTTTCAAAACTATCATCATTGATATCTCTAAGGTTACCATCAAAGATCGAAGAATCGAACGATTTGGAAAACATATGCTTATCCGAAACCCCTATGGAATCAAAGAAGTTCTTCTCAGTATTAAGCATCTCTGAAAACGAAGACTTACTATCAGAAAACTTCTTAAACCCAGCATCTGCCTCTCTAAAAGCAGACTCAGCCGGTCGTCGTGATTTAGTATTCGGATTGAACACATTCAAGTACTCTGAATCTACTGTCCAGTAAGACCCTTTCCCAGGATCGTTGTGCGCTCGTGGTATCTTATAGAAACACTTGTTCAGCGAAAGGTTGTGCCTAATTGAATTCTGCCACCCACCTCGCTGTCTTCTAAAGTACGGATACTTGTTCATAATCCAAGCATATATCTCACGCAGGGTTAGTTTCCGCTCACTGCTATCTATAATGGCCTGGGTAATGAGTGTAGCATACGAATATGCCGGCTTGTCATATGAAGAGTCATCCACTAATGAAAATGTATCAACCGCCTCTCTACAGGCCTCGCTGGCCAAGGTTGAATACTTCTCTTCTTCCTTATCTGAACATTCGTTTTTACTTCTTAACATACTGAATACCTCCGAAACAACCTTGTTTCTCGCACTTCTGTCCATAATAAAGACAAATAATGAATCATTCCTTAATGAAACACCCAAAACACAAGAGATCTAGATGACTCGGTGTATAAACAAACAAGATAGTATTATTTTTTTAATATGGTTACTGTCATTCTGCAACATGCTAACTTAGAGATTTTTAAGAACAATCGCGGTAAAGTCTTGCTTAGTAGTGAACTGCCTGAGGCCAGAAAGACGAAAGAGGCCCATTTGTATCGTCCGGACATTCTTCATCAGTGTTTATTAATGCTTTTAGACTCACCTTTAAACAAATCAAAACAATTGGAAATCTTGATTTTCACAACAAATGCCAAGATAATCAAAGTTTATCCACATACTAGAATTCCTAGAGTTTATTCACGTTTTACAGGTTTAATGATTCAGTTATTGGAAAGACAAAGAATATACTCATCACCAGATAGAGAGATTCTTTTGGAAGTTGTGAAAGGTCCTCTTAGTTCGCATGTTCCTCATGATGCGCCTGTGTTTGGACTGTCTCAGGAAGGGGTGCATTTTCGGAGTTACTTTAAGGAGGCTAAACTATCTCCGGCTGAGCTGAAACGGGCTGTCTTTTATATTAATGCGATTGCAAGTGGTAGTGATGATTTTGAAGGGGTTGTATCTTTGAGCTTATCTGAGTATGCTCTTTCGGCGGCTAGTTGTTGTTCAAAAATATGTAGTGCGTTGGAAGAGATGCTTGGGGTTTTTTGAGATAGGGGAGTAATTTAGATCTTAATGTTTTGGTTTTGGATTGAGTTTAGTAGATGTTTATTATCTGGGGGTGAGTTAAGTGGCTGAATCGATGGGATTAGTTCGTTTGGAAGACTAAACCTATCTGTCTGACTAATAAAGAGAGACCAATACTAATTTCATTCTTACTTGTTGTGTTTGTATAGTGTCTAATAAGGAAAGTTCATCTTAACTAATACTAACCCAATACTAACCCAATATGACGTCATACTGAAGTTTTGATAAGACCGACTACTACTGGGTTAGGATTTGATATGATTCGAATTCTCTACTAACCTAATACTAACCTAATCTTAACATCATACCAACCCATTCGGACAATGAATAAACGATTTGGGCTGGGGAATGAGTAGTGGTTGTGTAACGGCACTACAGTTTGTTATTGTAAAGAGTGCTTGTTTTGTTTGGATCTTGCATAGGTAATTTGGATGATGTTGTGTCTTCTAACCCAATACTTGTCCAGAAGCTTGGTGTGGTTTTAATCGAAATGGACATAATAAGATCTTAAAATAAACTCAATAGTGTTCATTTTGAAATTTGGTTGGGTTCTTCTTGAGTTTTACTTTCACTTAGTGTTTGTTCAGTATGTTGTGAATTTAGATCTGCTTCAGTCGATTACAATGTCAAGTAGTAGACTAGTAGAGACTTGGGCTGTTTAATAGAAGTGTTACGTTTGGAGATATTTAGGGGTTACAGAGACCAGATAGTAATATTAAGATAAGCAATGTAGTCTGGTTTGCTTGGGCTAGGACAATAAAGAAGACATAGAGAAGTTGAGCTAGTTTGATTTATTTGAGTTGTGATGGTGTAATGTAGTGATAGTGTAGTGGTGTAAGGTTGAGATGGATAGATATTCCATTGAGTAGCTCAAAAGGGGATGGTTCAGGTGGATAGAGAGGTGGGTGGGGTGATATATATTGAGTATATCAAGCGGTTACAGTGATTTAAAGCACTGAAATGGGTTAGTGTTGGTATGGAGTTGGTAGTTTTAAGACAAGGTTAGAGTTGTTATAGTCTTTGGTTCTTTCACACTAAAGTAGGTAAAAGAGCCTATTTGGGTGATTCAAATAGGAGTTAGAAGTAGCCAAAGATTGTGCACCAAGAGGGGTTAATGCCAACGATACTCTTTCTTGTGGTTCAAGATTAATGAATATAGCCTATAATAGGGGATGTAGAAGTAGTGGCGATTATCTGTCCATGGTCTGGTTTGGAGCCACTCAGAATCAGTAGCAGGATTGTTAACACTCATATCAGGGAAGATAAAAATCGGCACTTCTGTGCCGACAAGCTGCCTGTAGCAAGACACATCCTTTTTAAGACGACAAATCTCACAGCGAGTTCTATGGACAGAATCTATTGCATCGACACAATCAATGCAGAGCGGGGCTTTACAATCGAGATAACAAAGAGCATCGAAGCCTGTATCTGAGACGAGTTGGGGATTAGATTCCATAACATCTGCCTGATCATCTTTCATTTCTTCCGATGGCATATAAAGAGTCCTATTGCAACCTGGACAGTAAGGCACATCGCCATCCCTCTTCAGTTTCTGGAGGCTAGTTATGATGGTATGGAGAGTTGCATTGGAACTATCGTAGTTGGGGATGAGGTCCTCAATTTTGTCACAATGGGTGTAAAGTTGAGACAACACTTTAGATGATACGGCGATGAATGTATGTTCAAGATCTGAAGTAATTTCTAACAGATTATCAAGATGTGGATGTAGCTGTAGTTCAATTGGGGCTTGCTTAGGAATTGTGTCCTCGATCTGAATGAACTGAAGGTAGGGTAGAGCATTGATCACATACTTATACGAAACCAAGATCTTTTGGTCTTCTTCGGTCAGTTTAAAGTTGGCCAACCAGAGTGAGGTTAGATTTTTGAATCGGCAACTTACCCAGCAGATAATAGTATTCAAATCCGTTCTAGTTAGGAAATGAGCGTCACTAATGCGCAAGAACATATTAGTAATGGAATCAGGCTGGACTGGGTTTGGAGTTGGAGTTGGAGTTGGGTTGGGTTGAGTGAGAGAAGTGGATTTGTACTTAGCAAGGTCGGCTTTTAAGGCATCAAGGGTGGCAATGCAATAAGTAAGCTCTTTCATATCTACCATGTGAGGTTGGGTGGGGAAAGGCGGCTCTGTGATGCAGTCATTGTTTGGGTTGGTTAGTACTTGGACGCCAAGATCTTTGAGAGCTTGTAAGGGTATAGTATATGCATCAAAGATGATGGGTTCTGGGCGTAGAACGAGTTTGCGGAGGTCAATCTCTTCAGTTTCTTTCTTCTCTTTACGCTCCTCGAGATAGTTAAACAGTGAGAACTCATTCAATTCCTTTCGCTGGTGGAAATGCTTGACCTCATTTAGACGAGTGGCGCCCTCGATTATGAGTTTGGCGATCTTTTCGGCTATAGGAAGGGTTAGTATTTGGGCGATAGCAAGACTAGTGAGGCGGTGGTTTAGGAGATGAACTTCAGTTTTAGATGAGCAAGTAAAGTCATAACAGCCTAGCATTCGGTATAAAATGCAATCACCAACATTGTCTAGAATCAAAGTCTTGACATTGAGGTTGTATTTTCGAGGATTAGCTAAACGGAGCTTTAGCTGGGTCAGGTCGAAGTTGGTGTCGGTTGGAGGACAATTACACACATTTGAGATGCGAAGCTCTTGCGCATTGATACTTTGTAGCGTATTTAGAACATCATGGCAGTTTTCAATATCGTTCTGATTAGGCTTTTTATCACCACTAATACTAAGTGTTGTGTAACGTATGTTCTGACAGCTGGAGTCGGGGCCTGGTATGTCAAGTCTGATATTGACTGGTTCTTTAAGTTCCCAACAAGGGCCACTAAGTGCGTGGTCAAGACATGCAATATTCTTATCAGCAAGATCCGTTGGGATTTTTGATAAAGCTTTAACCTTGCAAAGACTCTCTAATGCTTTAAAGGAATGACCTCGGCCATCAGCATACTCAAACTCGACTTTTCCAACGGAAATGCCATGTTTAGCAAAGGACTTCACGGACATTACTTGTTCGTAGTAAATCGGGAAATCACACCAGGTGCAATCCGAGGACACGAGAACAACTTTGTTGGCAAAGATACGGGGGTCACAAGGGGATTGTGGTTCATCAACAACATTCAAGATATCAACCCATTTAGTATGAGACTCATTACATGATAAGACATGAACATGGATTGGATATGGATTTTCCTTTCCAATGTGTTGTATGACCTTTCTACGTCCAGCTAGAATTATAGTTGAGCCTTCTGCAGGTACCTCTTCCTCAAGTCCGGCTATTGTTAAAGTCTGGTAGTTTTCAATTCGGAAGATGATCTTGGAGCATTTATGAGCAGCCTTTTGAATGGCTTTCAAGTCAATCTGAATGTTTTCTTCGGAATAGCAAATTGTGAGGGCGGAATCTTCTGTGAGTGATAAAGGTTT